ATACTGCCTCAGCCCCCTACCCCATGCAATTGAATGGGGTCTCGTGCGCCTCCTAATAACCAAACGTAAGTAATAACCAATACTAAACTGATTTGCTTGACTTCCGATCTCTGCATGTATCAAAGCATATACATAATGATCCGTGTTTCAACTTTTGTGGTATAACTACTAACTAGCATTATGTTCTTGGTAAATTTGATTTAGAATGGCAAGAATAGGATATATCATGTTATGGAAACAAGAAATGATTAATTCATGTGTGACTAATGGTGCATGCATGTATACCTTTCTCGTTCATCATCTCCTGTTCATGAAATCCAATTTGGCTTTTCACGGCCAAATGTGCGATTTCCGCCCGAGTTGAGGGCTTTCTAAATTGAACAAAATTACATATATAGTTTAGCTAACCCTGCACGGCCATTGCGTAACAAGACATCTTGCTAACATTTAAGCCAGGCGCACACGACGCGATTTTTGTGGTACGATTTTCAGGTCGGTCGACTAAATCCTATGTCATTTTTAAGAGATATTACGGTGGGCAGATTGCAATCGGAATACATCAAAACAAAAATACTTATGAAAAAAAATAAAATAATCAACTTTGTAAACAAGCTATTATAAAAATTCACCTTAAGATTCCAATAAAAGTTCTTGTACAAAGCAAATTCTCATTACAATACTTCGCTTGTCAATTTCGGCGGGAAAAGTCCTGTTCAGCACGCACGTACTATAAATGTTTTATTATAATTTGTCTTACCTCAATGCCTTCGGCTTCTTCACATCTTCTTTCTGTAAATCGCGATTCTCTGAAGTGTCGACCATGTTCGACGAACTCAGGCTGGTCCAGGTTTTTTTGCCGTAATCATAACAGCGCTTATTTGCTGCGTATTGCACGTTGCTCGTCGCTGCCGTGTTGAATACACCAGTCCACTCATCATCATTATCATCCGCTTCGCACGATGGAAGCTCAACGAGGTCGATTTGCCCGAAAGGATCAATTTTTTGCGCTAATAGCATTTTAGTTCTTTTCTGATTCGATAGCGAATACTGATTGTTTTCTGTAAAATAGATGCATGAGACAGTATAAGATATGTTATTTTCAATTGGCGGCATCGACGCAGTGAATATAATAATATTCTTGTACGTCTGCATGGTGACATCAAATACGTAAATAAGGTTGTAGGTACACCACGTAAGTATTTAATACTGCAAAGCTTTCAGCCCGTTAGCCCGGGCTTTCGTCATGCAGTGCATCCAATAATAATATTAACAATAGTCTCTGAATGCATGCAGGCTATCTCAGACCATATCATATTCCGGCTAAACAAAAAATCCCGCGTGGAAATTTTGCTTAAGAATTAAAAAAAGAAGAAATCATGGTAATTTTTGCTTAAAAATCAAAAACAGAAGAAATTATGCATGGTACCTCGCAATTTCATACCACGGAGTGAAATGGGTTCGACAGTATTCGAGGTGAATTTCTTCTCGTGCCAAGCCCGCTTCTGGTTGACATTGGCCGATTGTCTGTGATCGTAGCGATATCTCGGCGGGGAATTACGAAGAGGAGGTAAAGTGACCCTCTCACCTTGAAAAAAGAAAATCAGTCGGCATTGGAATAAGTAATGCAATGTATACGTAAGATTGGTGGAGGGAAACATCTGGCGCCGGTTACTCAAAAGGATTTAGCTTTAACGGTGCATGCATAAGCCAAAGTTTCTCATATATATTGTGAATGACTGAACCTGGATTTTATGCTTTAAATATTTACTTATACATTAAAAATTAAGCTAATTAAATCGAAATATTTCAGGTCATTTGTCCAATAAAGAGATAAATTTGTTTTCCATTTTGAACTTATCCGCCGTGTAAACTAAACGCCTTTCGAAACCAAGCAACCGGCCCCTGGGTTACTTACCATGTATCCATATAAATATATTAATCACAATACAAAATTAACTGCAAAAAAACTATTGTTTTACTTCCTCGGATTATACCGCGCGCACTGGCACTGCTACAGTTTATCATCCGTCCGGACTGAACTTTTATTTTATTTACCGGCTTCGAGTCCGGGTAGAAATTTATTTTCCATGAGAGCCAACATTTTTCCACCCAGTTCGACCAAAACGGTAAATAACGTGTTCATTTTTTTGAAAGTCAGCGGTTTGTCGTATTATACTTACGCAATCGTGCAAACTCAGTCAAAATGAGAAACAAGACAAGCTAAACCTCAATTCTTTACTCTACTAAAATTCACTTTTATCGTGATAATCGTTAGTCTATATATATATATATATATTCAGGGGCCGGTTGTATCAAGCCCGTTTAGCTTAAACGGTGGATAAGTCAAAATTAAACAACACTCTTAGATCTCTCTTGAATGAGTCAACTTGAATATTATGCACTGAATATGTACTTGAAAACAGTATCTTTAAGTTTGTATTAAGGTAAAAAAAATTTTAGTTCGCTTGTTGAATACAACAGTTAGATAATTGGTTTCTATTTTGAACTTATCCGCCTTGATACAGCCAACCCCAGTAATATAAACTAGTTAAGAGTTGGTAAGTAATTCTTTGGAAAACAAAAGTCAAAACCGCAAATAGGCTTCAGACGGTGGTCAGATATCGTACGAAATTCCGCCTGCTGTTACAACTCCAACAATCAGATTGGAGGAAAGGCTACGAATATGATTTAAAAACTGTGATTCAATGACTGATGAGCAATATGGTAGCCAGCTAGCGTTGTAAAGCCCGTTTTCCACCAGGCGAATTTATTCGCCGGAACAGATAAAAAGTAGGATTCTGTAGGAAGCGATTCTACTTTTTCGCGGCGATTTTTTTCGCAAACCAATTACATCACCAGATTTCAAAAATCGCTTCGCGTCGCGCGAATTCGCGCCTACGGTGGAAAACGGGCTTTAACAAAGACTTAAAGCCGAAGTTTTTGTTTGAATCGGTCGAAGTTTTCCGTAATACACCGAACATTAGTGTAAAAACATACCAATTCTTGGAGACTTCCTATATGCCGCTCTGCTGCTTTCACCGGTAGGACTAACCCTTCCACCGTTAACCTTGTCCAATATAGGATTGACTTTATTCGGTCGGACCAGACACTGGCCCATTTTTAATCCAAATAAACCAAATTAACACTTATTTAACACTCTCTTTAAAAACTCGCAGTTGCACTCAAGAAATTACAAATAGTAATAGACAATTAATAATCGTCATTTGAGAAAGCTCCTTTTAATTATTACGTCACCAATTAGGTTGCGAGGAATGCCGCGCGTGTCGGAGAAAGGAGACAGTTAGACAGAAATTAACAAAGGCGGGGGGAGGGGCGGCATTTTTTCGGAAAGTGCACTTCTGTAGCGGGGCATACAACCAAATGTTTGTAAAACATCGTCTGTTGAACTTCGTTTCATCGTGACGTACCCTCTTTCAAGATGATTCCATTGTCTAGGAGTTTTTCGATTGTCCTATTCTTTCAGATTGTTGGTTTCACAAGACAGAGATTGTAAAGGGCACGTCCCCCCCCCACCCTCTGCTCCAGCTTGTAAAAGGCATGAGAGCAGCTGCCGCTGCTGTCGCCCTCTCCGGCGTCCCTGAGATTCATCAGTTCTTGGTACAATAACGCACTAGTGCATATATTGCAGGGTTTGATTTACTGCAGATATAATCCCACATTGATATTTCCCCCATTCTTGTCATGCTCGCAAAAATTTAAAAAAAACTTTCTGGGGCCGGTTGTATATGAAAGCCAGATAGCGCTATTATAACCGGATGGTGTTTTTTTCAATCGCCCGTTCAGTCTTAGGAATAACTTTTAGGATCCTCTTCAATAATTGTTGGTTCCAAGGCTCAAATTATCTTTTTTATTATTTTGGAGATGCTTTTACACTTTGAGACTGAGCAATACGGCAATATAAACTAGCTAAGCAAAACTGAAGAGAAACCTTACAAATGTAATGTATGTAACAAGTGATTTTGAGACTTCTCCACCTTCTCCACCTTGGCAGGTAATAAAAAAGCATTGTCATGCTTGATATTTTTATGAGATTTACCAGAAAACGTTTTCGACGAATTTATGTCATGAAACAAAAAAATACATTTGTTATGCAAGGGTTGCAACACAAGGTTATTTAGACCATAGCTAGGATTTGCTAACATTAAGGATGAGAGCACAGTAAATGGGCTGGTTGTACCAAAGCTGGATAGCGCTATCCACCGGATAGTGTTTTTCAACCGTTCTAAAAATGCTTGAAGAGCCATAAAATTAAGATTTCTTTACAATAGTCAATAAATAAGGAAAACAATATTAAGACATAATAGGTTGTTCCATATGTCATAGCAATTCAGTGATATCATGTGTTATTTACCAATTAATTATGTACCTTCTGCAATTAGGGTCAAATACTGCAATTTCATTGGTTAAGAGGAGTGCAATTGATCATTAATCGCACCCTTTCATGAGCTTAAATTTTGTTTTGGTATTTTTTCTTAAAGCAATCACTCGTATAATTTTGCCATTAATACCACTCTTATTCGTTCTATTACCATTATTAATATAGCAGCTTACGCTGTCATCAACTTGAACTCATCAATTAGTCAAAATGAACAACAATAATGACAACCGTTTCTCAAGTATTAGCTATTTCCCAATCAAGCAGGGTACTGGGTCCAGTCGTGAACCGAAAAGCATCAATGGACTGTTGGGAGGGACAGGAAATATAAGTCTGAAATCATTTGTCCCTCCAAACAGTCCATAGTTGCTTTGCAGTTCGCTACTAGATCCAGGAATAATTTAGGAATCTTTAAATCTGTCAGTCTCAGGATTGCGATCAAATTCACTGGTTACAGTTTAAAACATGCTCGCCTCTTATTATATGGAATACTTAATTATTATTTACATTGACACCTGTATTGCTGGGACCAAACTAAAGTCACCACCATCAGTCAATTAGTTATAAATGAAGAATAAATGAAGAATAATAATGTCAACTAAAGGGTGTTATCAAAAAGAACACAACACCTAATATTCATAAATATTTGCCTAGGTGGTTTTCTATTGTCCAAGACAAAAGATTGAGCACTAACAAATAATTAGCATGGTTGCATTTTTTTATACACCCTGTACGTATTCCCCAATACCCAAGTGTCATCATTAAATAGGCATATAAAAATTAAATTAGTAGTTATAAAATTTGATAGTTGATGCAAATCCAACTGAATTGGAACAAAACAAAACCAAACAAAATAAAACAAAACTATGAACACAACTTTTAGTATTTGACAGTTAGATTTACTCTTAAGTCAGAAATTCAGAGATTCAGTCAGAAATATTTAGTCTGCTGCATGTGCACTCATGTGATCCTCAAGATCTCTAGCAACATCAAACACATTATCACACACACAACAAATGTATCCAACACCAGTTGGTTCTGTTGATTCAAGTTCTTGACAAAGACCACACTGATATTTTCCATCCTTGTCATGCTCCTTTGCTATATGTGACACTAATTGCCTGAAATTTTGATGTTTTTGATCACAAAGATTACAAATAAACTTTCCAGTAATTTTATCTTCTACAAAATGTTCCAGCAAATCTTGTGGTTGAACAATCTCCTTGTTGCAACTGTTGCACAGCAAGTGCTTGTTTTTGTGCTCTCTAAGACTATCATTGTGTGAAAATCTGGCTTTACAAACATTGCACTTATAACATTGAGATCCACTGTGAGTTCTTTTATGGACTGCAAGGTTACTAGATTTTGCAAAACTCTTGTCACAAACATCACATTCAAATGGTTTCTGTCCAGTGTGAGTTCTTTTATGGGCTATAAAGTTGCTAGATTGTGCAAATCCCTTCTTACAAATATTGCATTCATATGGTTTCTCTCCAGTGTGAATTCTTTCATGGAGTACAAGAGTTCCATTTACTGAAAATCTCTTGTTACATACATCACATTCATATGGTTTCTCCCCAGTGTGAGTTCTTTTATGGAGTACAAGGTTGCCAGAATGTGCAAATTTCTTGTTACAAATATTGCATTCATATGGTTTCTCTCCAGTGTGAGTTCTTTTATGGAGAACAAGAGTTCCAATTACCGAAAATCTCTTGTTACAAACATCACATTCATATGGTTTCTCCCCAGTGTGAGTTCTTTTATGGACTGCAAGGTTGCCAGATTGTGCAAATTTCTTGTTACAAATATCGCATTGATATGGTTTCTCCCCGGTGTGGGTTCTTCTATGGATCACTAAGGTGTATGGCTGTCGAAATGTTTTCCCACAAACATCACATTCATAAGGCTTTTTTTCGTTGTGTATTCTCTTATGACTTGTGCAAAGATGTCTGGACTGCTTCTCACAGACAGCACAGTTATCAACAGTGCGTGAGCGACCATGATTACGAGAATGGCTGGACATATTTCTTGATGCGATGAAGATGATTTTCTGTTCCAATAACAATGGAATAAACTCAACAGAAATCTCGACAAAAATTGAAGATTTTGCAAAGGCGCGAAGCTGAAGTAAAGTCGAGATTATATAAGAACACGTACAGAAGTGAGAAGTGGATATAACAATGCTTTCAAGTTTCAATCACCAGTTTACAATTTGGCGGGAAAAGGGGTGCTTCCGCTTTGAAACTGAAAAATTCGAACAAAATAAAGTTCCGCGCACGGTCAAAAGTCGGTCAGCTTAACCGTGGGTTAACTGAAACTTTTACATCAATTTTTTTAATCTTTCTTTTATGAAGTTGAACATATTTTTCCATAAATATTTCCTGGATGAATAGACGTCTTATTTTTTAAAGTCTTGAAACGAACAGCAGTACAGAAGCACATAAACCAAAGCAGCGGAGTACAACATAGCCCACGGTTAGCGCTAATCTAGAGTTAAAAAACTGATACATGCACTGTCGAATTTTAATATATTAGGGAAATTTAGCATGAGGACGTGATTCACGTGAATGTCAAGGACGACGTGAAAATGGCAAATAAATGGCGCGGCTGTCCATATATAGACGCATGGACCATATATAGACGCATGTCGATGTATAGACGTCGACTTTTACGTAATTACGTTCAGGTCATCATGTTAAATCTCCCTATTGGTCACATGCGGAGGGGGAGAAACCAGTAGGATAGCATACACTAAAGGTATTGCTTCACTTAGGGAAGGATGTGAGCCTTCCCCACCCTATAGGCTATACAAGAGGTGTGCAATGATGCAACCTCCCCACCCTAGTCCAGAGCTGTGCAATTATAATGGGTATCAATAATCACTTTGGAGTATTTGGAAATTCACAGCCTTTTCCAGTGTTCTGAAGATTAGGTATCACCTTACCATCCTAATATTCCTTCTAAAGCTGCATAGTGCAGCATATGCCAAACCACAAAGAAAACACAACCTCAACACAATAAACATAAACTCAACTTTTAATAGGTTGTAAATAGTAAATCATTTGAAACATACATTAATAAACATACATGGAAAAATATTCAGTCTGCTGCATGTGCAAGCATGTGATCCTCAAGATCCTTGGCAACATCAAACACAGCATCACACACATAACAAATATATCCAACACCAGTTGGTTCTGTTGAATCAAGTTCTTTACAACGACCACATTGATATTTTCTATCCTTGCCATGCTCCTTTGCAATATGTCTCACCAATTGCCTGAAATTTTGATGTTCTTGTTTACAATAATTACAAATAACCTTTCCAGTACTTTCATCTTTTACAAAATGTTCCAGCAAATCTTGTGGTTGTACCATCACCTTGCTGCAACTGTCGCATAGCAGGTGCTTTTTTTTGTGGATGTTCATGTGTCTTGTAAAATCCTCAGAGCATATAAATTTCTTAGCACAGATGTTACACTTGTAAGGTTTTTCCCCTGTGTGTGTTCTTTTATGCACTTCATGGCTATATAGGGTAGCAAAACCTTTCTCACATACTTCACATTTATAAGGTCCATCACTAGAATCACTAGAATGTGTTCTTTTATGGCGCCGTAATGCTGTCGAACTGGGAAATGTCTTCCTACAAACATCACATTCATATGGTTTCTCTCCAGTATGTGTTCTTTTATGATGTTCAAGGGTTCCAGTGTATGAAAATCTCATGCTACAAACATCACATTTATATGGTTTCTCTCCAGTATGTGTTCTTTTATGATGTTCAAGGTTTCCAGTTTGTGCAAATCTCATGCTACAAACATCACATTCATATGGTTTCTCTCCAGTATGTGTTCTTTTATGATGTTCAAGGTTTCCAGATTGTGCAAATCTCATGCTACAAACATCACATTCATATGGTTTCTCTCCAGTATGAGTCCTTTTATGGACTACAAGGTTGCAAGATTGTGGAAATTTCTTGTTACAAATATCGCATTGATAAGGTTTCTCTCCAGTGTGATTTCTTTTATGGATTTTCAAGGCGCATGAATGTCGAAATGTTTTGTTACAAACATCACATTTATGAGGCTTTTCTTCGCTGTGTACTTTCTTATGATTTGCCAAGTACCCGGGCAGGTAAAACCTTTTCTTACAAACATCACATTCATATGGTTTCTCTCCAGTATGAGTCATTTTATGGAGTGCAAGGTGGCCAGATTGTGCAAATTTCTTGTCACAAATATCACATTGATATGGTTTCTCCCCGGTGTGGGTTCTTCCATGGATTACTAAGGCGTATGGTTGTCGAAATGTTTTGTCACAAACATCACATTCATAAGGCTTTTCTTCGCTGTGTATTTTCTTATGATTTTCTAAGTGCCTGGGTAGGTAAAACCTTTTCTTACAAACATCGCATTCGTTAGGTCTCCGTCTCTCTGTAGTTTGTGTTCCCTCCCGAGTTACTTGATTATTACCGTGATTACCACAATTAGTGGACATATTTGTTTCAGTAAGACCCTGGTGTTCGGTGTCGTAGACATACAGTCTATAGTCAGCAATCACGGATTCACGGTTAATTAAAACCACTGATTAGAACTGAGATCTCAGTTCTATTAACCGTGATGCAATGGAATCACTTCATTAAAACTGTGCTTCCACTTTTGAAATCATGAATTCGCACTAAAATAAAATTCCGTCTTTTATGAACCAAGAATTTTCCGAGAAAAGTGTATTGTAATTGTCTGTTATCTAAATTTTGGAGTGGGCTGTAAATTTGGGTATCAATAAACATTTTGGAGTATTTGAAGTTCGAAGCCTTTACTTTATAAGTCTATGACAATCAAAACATCATCAAAATTAGATAACAATTAAATAATAATGGTTCTGCATTGTGGTTCTGTTCTCCGGGGGTAATATACCGTATATTGACTGGGGAACATCCGTCTTCTTATAAAATACACTGGAAGAAGCTTTCGTTATTGGTGTTTCTATATCCAAATGTTACACTAAATCATTTGTTTTTATGCTTCGTTTTCATTTTAATTAAGAGCGTATTCAAGAATACCTTTGTGGACTTTTTAGGTGAGTATATTTGCAAAATTATAAGCGACATTGGATGTTGTTAAAATGCTGTGTTTATATCTCGCTGATTTCTGACTTCGACGATTTCAGAGAGTGTTGGTGATACCTAAAACTGTAAGACAGTATTAGTATTATACTATTAGTAAAATCTTATGCAATCTACGAGTATCAGTTTTTTAAAAAGTGTACAAGTTTTCAACTCTGATATCTGTGCATTTATTGATATACACAGTCATTTGTTTGTATTTATATTTTGGTAATAATTATAATTATTTAAGGATACAATGGAAATTTACTCCCCCGCGGCCGAGAATACAACAATTGTAAAAATTAGATTTATACATTGATAATCATCAGAAAATATCAACATCAAAGGTGAAAGGAGTTTTTGCCATAACATGAATAATAGTATAACATAACATACTGTATGTTGCCTAGCTATAACAATTAATTACGGCATCATAACTTTAGAATTATTAACTTGAATATTATAACCATTAAACTAAAATGAATGGAGTCTAGAAGTATGGAAGATCAGACAACCACGACAATAATATAAATGTTTGTATGCCAGTAAGATTATGCCTCTATATTTTCATATATGAAGAAAGCAGCTAGTATATTCTAGCTGACCTGCGTGCTGACTCATCAAAGAACTTCAAAGAATGACAAAGAAGTTCTAATACCCACATGAATATTTCTGTTAAGTATGGTTGGAGAATTTTTAACCCTGTTTAAAAAGATTCTCAGTCTGCTTGCTCAAAGCATATTTTTTGCCTCAACACTCTAGAATTAAGTAGATAACCATTAACTCTAAGAAGTTTAAAACAATCAGGCTGCATGTAAATATAAATGGTATATAATCTCTTGTATAAAATAACATGTATACAACAAGTGTTCTGATTGGCCAAAGCATGTGTTTAGATCTGAAACAAACACAGAAATTTAATGTGCTCATGGAAATCAAACTTGGAATACTACCTTTTAATGGTTATCTGTGTTTTGCTGGCCAGGATTTTAAAACTTGGGAATGTTGCTTTGGTAAAGAAAAGCTCACAAAATCACTTGTGTTTTGCACACTTTCTACATTCCTAGGTGTTTGGATCAGACCAAATCACTGGACCAAATACGAAAACCATTAAGTAATTGTTTAGTATAAATGTATTTCTCTAATTATACATTGGCTTTTCAACAAATGATTAATTAAGATGTTTCATCTATCTTCAACATTTAATTCTAAGCAAGTCAAAGGAGGATGGTGAGTTTGGAAGAACTTGAATGTGGCTGCTGCTATGAATTACTTCTTAACCCAACAACACTTACTTGTGGTCACAGTTTCTGTCGATATTGTTTGGCCAAATGGTTTAAAACTTCCAAGAAAGCAGAATGTCCAGAATGTAGACAGACTTGGATTGGATTTCCCAGCGTCAATGTTCACCTACGGTATTTCAAAATTTCTACTTTATTGCTTTCAAATAGTGTAATAATATATGTTTGTGGGGAAAGGCAAGGTTGATCTTGTGAGGGTGGAGTATTACATAATATATTATACCTATTATTACCCAATTAATAGAGTATTAGCCTACCTATTGTATTGTAACTAATTTGCAAAAGTAACATATTTGTCGAAGCTGTGATCATTTAGCAATCTGTAGAATGGTAATTTAATCATGCAAGTAAGTGACATATTCTACTCCGATAGTGTTGATTTTCAATAGCTTATTTTACTCGATTTGCCGGGAAAGTAAGCGCTTTTTGATCAAACTCGTATAAATTTATCATTTTTTTCATATTAAAGCTACGAGGAACGTGTCTTTTTGTTTATTTAGCGATCCTTTGATTGGCATTGCCATTGGCTTTGCAACGAGTGTAATAAATTTGTAAAAAAGGCACAAAAGAGCCAACTACGAAGTGATTTGTTTATTTCATGCGTATTTGCAATGCAAGTGACACGCGTTTGAAAAACAAAGATAAAGCAAGCAATAAAAATCAAATTACCGTTCAATTTCTTTGTAATTTTGTTGACAACTCGCAAATTTTCAACGCCATCTTGAAAAGTATGTAAACCTATTACCGCTAAAATCCCAATAAATATTTCACCAATCAGCAGCTAAAGAATTCGTTCGTCCAATCAAAATTTATGAACGACATGGAAAAACTTGTTCGTCCAATCAAATGGTAAGGTAATTCCCTTGGGGGCAGTAGCGTAGCCAGCCTGACGATCATTTGTCCCGCTATGCTAATATTTTGGGGCTATCTGTAAAACAAGGAACGGGGAATCGGGGAAAGGAATGAGGAAAGGAACGGGGAACGGCAAAACAAGGAATGAGAAAAGCCGGAATCTGTAAAACAAGGAATGAGAAAAGCCGGAATCTGTAAAACCAGGAATGGGAAAAGCCGGAATCTGTAAAACAAGGAATGAGAAAAGCCGGAATCTGTAAAACCAGGAATGGGAAAAGTTTGTAACTTAAGGCTGCTTTCCACTGTCGCGTTTTTAGCACGTACGTACACGCACGTAAAAGTTTAAGTGCTTTTAAATTTTTATTATTCAACATCTAGGTCAGCAAATGCATACGAAGCTACGCGGAAAACTAAGTTCTTTCGATTTATTCATTTCGTTTTTTTAAAGATAACTTATATAAGCATTTAGACTTTTACGTGCGTGTACGTGCGTATGAAAAACGCGACAGTGGAAAACAGCCCTAAATTAGTTACAATTTCCGCGCGTAATACAAAATAGGCTATCTTTAAAACCAGGAACGGGGAATCGAGGAAGGGAACGGGGAAGGGAACGGGGAATGCTAAAACCAGGAATGCGAAAAGCCGGAATCTTTAAAACCAGGAATGAGAAAAGCCGGAATCTTTAAAACAAGGAATGGGAAAAGCCGGAATCTTTAAAACAAGGAATGAGAAAAGCCGGAATCTGTAAAACAAGGAATGAGAAAAGCCGGAATCTGTAAAACCAGGAATGAGAAAAGCCTGAATCTGTAAAACAAGGAATGAGAAAAGCCGGAATCTGTAAAACCAGGAATGGGAAAAGCCGGAATCTGTAAAACCAGGAATGAGAAAAGCCGTAATCTGTAAAACCAGGAATGAGAAAAGTTTGTAACTAAATTAGTTACAATTTCCGCGCGTAATACAAAATATGCTAATTTGACATGGCTATGTTTTCCGTATTTTACCAAATTTCGCAGCCAAACTTAGCATTTCCACTAATTCAAGTACGCTTAATTCTTTTATCTGTTATATGGAACATAAACTGCATTCTTTTGTGGGGGAAGGAATATATACATATATAATTATACAAACGATGAAACGATCACAAGCACTGACAAGGTTAGTTTGTAAACAGTTAAATTTGTTGATTTGGTCTTATTCATAAACCTACAAAGTGGTCAGTGGAGCTTTGCGCGTTGCTATCTACCGTTTAATATCTACATTGCTATTGAAATTGAATAATGTTTGGTTGGAAATGAAAACTTTTTGGATCCAAATTTGAATTTCCAAATTTTCATATGAATTGCATACTGCAATGATATAATTAAAATATGCAAGAACAACTTCATTATAAATACGCAATATATTTTATATTTTCTATATTCAGTTCATTGTATTTACAGCTACCTAATATATCAGTATAAATCTAACAATTTTGCTCCATTTGATACATACATATTAAGCTTATTTTGCAATATATATTTGTCATAGTTCATGGTAACAGCTTTTCATTATTGAATCAGATTACCCCTGAACAATGCACTACACTTTTGTTGTCCCAAATTACCAAATATAATATAATTTTGCTTGTAAGTAAAATTGTATAGAAAATGAAAATATTTTAGTGTATAATTTGTACCTTAATTAACTCAGATTATAATTAAACAGTTACCATTCTCACCCAAGGTTTTAATGACTGGAGGCTGATTAAAAATATACAATAATAATCTGTAAGTAACTAACAGTTGCAATTAATTAAAATCTTGGCTCTTTGAGAACAACTTTGTGTTGGGATGGAATTTTGGAATATATCCTAGGTCTTGTTTAGAAAAGTATAATTTCCAACCAGCATTTACTTTTACAAATAATTTAATCAAATAAAAATGCTTTAGAAATTGTGTAGGGAAATTAAACCTAGCTGTGGTTTTCTAGCCTAGCATGATTCAATATGAAAAGCTTTTACTATGAACTATGACTATATAGTGCAAAATAATGTATTAAGTGTTAGCAAAATTATTGTTGTTTGCATAATTATATATGTATATATATTCCTTCAATCCTTCCTCCACAAAATAATTCAGTTTATGTTCCATATAACTGATAAAAGAATTAAGATATGTTGTTAAATTTTGGAATATTACCAGTATATTGTATCTGCTGCTACTTAATATAAATCTACTCTACAGTATGTAAACAACAATAGGATATATTCCAAAATTCCATCCCAACACAAAGTTGTTCTCAAAGAGCCAAGATTTTAATTAATTGCAACTGTTAGTTACTTACAGATTATTATTGTATATTTTTAATCAGCCTCCAGTCATTAAAACCTTGGGTGAGAATGGTAACTGTTTAATTATAATCTGAGTTAATTAAGGTACAAATTATGCACTAAAATATTTTCATTTTCTATACAATTTTACTTACAAGCAAAATTATATTATATTTGGGACAACAAAAGTGTAGTGCATTGTTCAGGGGTAATCTGATTCAATAATGAAAAGCTGTACCATGAACTATGACAAATATATATTGCAAAATAAGCTTAATATGTATGTATCAAATGGAGCAAAATTGTTGTTCGCATAGATTTATACTGATATATTATTAGGTAGCTGTAAATACAATGAACTGAATATAGAAAATATAAAATATATTGCGTATTTATAATGAAGTTGTTCTTGCATATTTTAATTATATCATTGCAGTATGCAATTCATATGAAAATTTGGAAATTCAAATTTGGATCCAAAAAGTTTTCATTTCCAACCAAACATTATTCAATTTCAATAGCAATGTAGATATTAAACGGTAGATAGCAACGCGCAAAGCTCCACTGACCACTTTGTAGGTTTATGAATAAGACCAAATCAACAAATTTAACTGTTTACAAACTAACCTTGTCAGTGCTTGTGATCGTTTCATCGTTTGTATAATTATATATGTATTATATATTCCTTCCCCCACAAAAGAATGCAGTTTATGTTCCATATAACAGATAAAAGAATTAAGCGTACTTGAATTAGTGGAAATGCTAAGTTTGGCTGCGAAATTTGGTAAAATACGGAAAACATAGCCATGTCAAATTAGCATATTTTGTATTACGCGCGGAAATTGTAACTAATTTAGTTACAAACTTTTCTCATTCCTGGTTTTACAGATTACGGCTTTTCTCATTCCTGGTTTTACAGATTCCGGCTTTTCCCATTCCTGGTTTTACAGATTCCGGCTTTTCTCATTCCTTGTTTTACAGATTCAGGCTTTTCTCATTCCTGGTTTTACAGATTCCGGCTTTTCTCATTCCTTGTTTTACAGATTCCGGCTTTTCTCATTCCTTGTTTTACAGATTCCGGCTTTTCCCATTCCTGGTTTTACAGATTCCGGCTTTTCTCATTCCTTGTTTTACAGATTCCGGCTTTTCTCATTCCTGGTTTTACAGATTCCGGCTTTTCCCATTCCTGGTTTTACAGATTCCGGCTTTTCCCATTCCTTGTTTTACAGATTCCGGCTTTTCCCATTCCTGGTTTTACCGTTCCCCGTTCCTTTCCTCATTCCTTTCCCCGATTCCCCGTTCCTTGTTTTACAGATAGCCAATATTTTGGTGTTCATTGACTGAAAACAATTAAATTCTAAAGAAATGAATAATTATAATAACTCGAAATTTACATAGCGCGACAAAATCGTCAGGCTGGCAACGCCACTGTTTTGGAGGGGGGGGGGGGTGATTTCTATTTCAATCTTCCACAGTGTTGTAAATCTTCATAATTATACCTTACAGCCCCAATTGATAAAGCGTTCTCAGCAAAATTACGCGCTAAAATCGGAATAAAGATCTTAGGGCCTATTTTAGCGTGCAGTATTGCACACTTTGGGCGGTATTGAATCTGAGTGTGTGCAGTATTGAAATTTGAAAAGTATCGTTTTCAGGCTACTGGGGTCAGTGGTACATACGAAAGCTGTATAGCGCTATCCGTTTTCAGTTCAATCGCTCTACAGTTACCTGTTGTTCGGAATCGAATAACTTTAGTTTAACCTTATAGTATCCTTATAGTAAACCTTAGATTTCTCTTAGACTTGCTTTCCTGATATTTTTAGAACGGTTAAAAAAAATTCGGTGGATAGCGCTATCCAGCTTTCGTACAACCGGTCCCAGGGCACTGAATTTGAAATATTTGAAGTAATTGAATTTTGAAAGTCGATAATTGCAAAATTTGTAGGGAACGCTCGTGTAATCTATTTTTTACTCGTTCGAAAAGCGTTCAGCTTATATAAACCGTGGATAAGCCAAAAATACTCTCGTATACCAACCTCGTTCCCACGGTCAAGGCGCGGTACATCATTAAAATATGTACTTTCATTTGAAAACTAAAATATTTACATCGAAATATTTCAGCTCAGTTGTTCAATCATTACATCATTTTATTTTCCATTTTAAACTTATCCGCTGGAGATCGAGGGTCAATTTTTTCAAGGCATACGGCCGCCTATTCATCAATTTTCAAGCATACTGTAGTTGCGCGTGTCCTAATGCAAGTTCACTTTAACATGCTTTAATACGTGAAAGATTGAAAAATCTTTAGAATAGGTCCTGTTTGAACCCAAACGGAATTCGCTTTTGTTTCTCAAGGAGCATCATTGAAAAGTCATTCCCAGCTCAGGTGAACATTCGAACGAGGTCGCAGACAAATGTTGCAGATTATGAAGATGTCTTAAAGGACTTTGAAGAACACGGGAAGGGTGATGGTGGACGACGGAACGCACAGCTATCCCAAGAACAACTTAATGGTTTTATTGGTGCATTCATTCTAGTGATCATTGCTCTTTTAATCGTTTTATTAATTGTAAGTATATTTAGTGTGTAAGTGTATTAATTGCATTTTTAGAGCATGCACGAGCTATATTTCATTACGATTTTATTGCAAGACCAAGTTGAGGTTGCTGTAGGTTTTTAGAGGCTGTTTACTCATACCCGGTTACCAGAGATTCAGCGAACCATAAGATGATTTTGAGGTATTGAAATAAGTATATTCAGGTTAGTATGATCCAGTCAGTCATCAGTCATGTGATCATTCCGACGATAGCATGTGCTGGTTTGGTATCACAAAGATTTGTTTCAATACCTCAAAATCCTTTCACGCTTCGCTTATTCTCGGGTAATAAACCGGGACTATGTAAACAGTCCCTAATTTCCTCCACTCGGCAGCGGTTGTCTCGTGTGAAATTAAGATCAGTGGGTAAATTTCAAATCGGTAGATTTTTTCGTCTGTGAACTGCTGAAAAAACTGAGCCTGCTGTTCTATCTAGCGTTTCACCCATTTCGCAACAATTTAACTGGAAGACCAAGATGTTTTGCGAGATCTGTCAATAAATCCGGCAAAGCATCACGCTCCTAGCAGTTGAATAATACCATGAAACATAACCTCATGGAAAAGGGTCTCATTTTAATCTTATACATGTGAAATGCTGCCGTCCTGAATAGTTTTTTCTCCCATTATTCTGATAGGTAGTATTTTACTGGATTATTTTTACCGAAGCAAAGCCCGCCGAAGTCATTTACTCCAAATCAGCACAAAGTTGGACAGTGAGAGAGGTTGCGAGCTGGGCCCAGGGGTTTACTGACCAATTGAGCTATGATTATTCCGAACGTTTTTCTAAGGCCGGGATCAATGGAGAGCTAATGCTTTCACTGAACGAAAAAGACCTCGCGAGTGATCCGTTGAATATTCTCTCATCCTTACATCGAAAGATCATTATGGCCGAAATTGATAAACTCAATTTGGCCGGTGTAAAACAACCCAAGGATATCTGGGAATACAAGGTAAGCAGCTAATATCAACGGGCGCTTTATACGGTAAAAACGACTTGAGCGGTCCTGTTGTATTTCAGTACAGACAGATTACTGGTGTTTTAGAGTGTCTCAAAAACTCTTCATTTAACCTCAGAGGCATGGGCCGAAAGTGGTAACATTTCTGTGCGCACTAAAAAGTTTCAAATTTCCGTACTTTACCAAGCCATTTCGCTATCAAACTTTGGAATTTTACTGTTTTCAGTATGCAATTTCTTGCTGTGGTTGTTTATTTTCATTTTCAACAAGAATATATTTGTATATGATGTAAGAATCCAAACCTTTTCAAAACATTTCTCTCGCTTTTTTGCCACGACATCTTTGGCACGGTTTTGGGGGTCAAAATTTCGGGTAACCTTAGAATCTTTCTTAGAATCAGGCTTTTAGCCTGATTGCAGGTTAATTGAAAGGCTGTCATAAAGGCCCACGGCGGAAATACTACGATCAAAAGAACGTCGTATTTAGGTCTTGAAATGCAAACTAACCTCTCTCGCTCTTGCATGTCAGCTACCTCTACACAGGTCAGTGGCAAGAGCATTGCACTCAGTGACATCGCAATGGCGTAGATTCGATTCCTGCTATAGGATCGATTGTTCATACATTCTTTCAACCGTTGAATTGACTTGAATTTATTTCTTAATTTCCTCGCTTGAGTTTAAGCATGGTTTTTTTTTTATATCCTTTTACACGTTGGGCACTATTTAGTGTATTTCTTTTATCTAGGACGCGCATAGAATTTCGTCCATCTTCCTGTTGTTCATGCTCCAAGATTTTCCACGGCTTACAATCTTTTTACACCGTTTCATGTGGCATGATACAGTGTTTATGCCTTTCATGCGGACTGTGGCTGCGAGACCACAATGTGAACAGAAAGAATTTCCCGACGATTATTTATATGATGACAATGATGACTCTGAAGGCGAATCAAAATGTTCCTCACAGGTCAGTTAGTACAGTCAAACCGGGTTTTATTGAGGCTAGCTCATTTGGAATTTAGTTCTGGGGCCGGTTGTATAAAAGTCCTAACTGCATTTAGCATAGTCTTTTATACAACTTGCCCCTGGTATGCATTTATCTCAATCGAGCGAAATGATTAGAATTATAGTTAAAATAAAATTTGCTCTTAGGGTTGAAGGATCTTAATTTCAAGTAAAAATTATACACATCTCAAAAGTCAAGCCAGGGAATAATGAGTATGATTTCCTCTCGAAGTGAAAACCTTTTAACTTTTTAACAATTATTCTACATCGGGTGAAGTGCCAGAAAATCTTAATTAATTTACCTTTATCTACTAGAAGGTATTAAGGCTATATGTGCACACGGTAACGTTTTCGGGCGTTTTCACATAGTAGCTAATTACGTTTTTATGCCAAAACGGTTTTAAACACCGTCAATTTAAAAAAGAAATTGAAGTTAATTTATAATATAAAGCATATTTTTCTTACAAAAACGATTTTGAAAACGCTCGTAAACGACGCTCGTGTGCACACTGCCCCAACCGACTCTGAGCAACCTCCCCTCAGGCTTAAAATCCTGTATTTAATAAAAAGATTTTAATGATTCTCCCTTTGGGGATATCAGTTGGATAATGTGTAGCGTCACGACTGACGAGTTCCCCATATATGTAGAGGAATAATCCATATTTTTAATCCGCATTTTTTTTCAGACAATGATACTGACGTCAAGGGATAAAGTCTGGTTCTACATAAAGGCGATGTTTGTTCCATACTATCTCTTTTCTCAGTTTGCGTGGCACTTTACCGACGTTCAGTTCTTCACCATGTGGATTATCATATCGCATTGCATCATGTTGACGGTGCGTGAGGCGTTACTATTAAAAAAAGCGAATATCAGGTAATAATTAGTATAAATTAATAGTAAATAATAGGGGATAATGCGTGATACGCGAAAATATGGCGTTTATTTCGAGTATTGAGAATAATAGCGTGAGATATAATTCTCAACATGAGAAATAAATTCCACATATTCAAGCATCCAAGTATTTTTGTTTTTATTATATAAAAAAAACTTTTTTTGAAAAAAAATTTATCCCCCAAGGCGCGTATATCTGATTCCTGATTGGTGGGTCAAACGCGATAATCATAACTCATCACACATAACACATCGCACATGCGTTATTATCATGAATATAATCGCACATGTGTTATTATCGCTTTTCAAAATGGCGGATTCGTCAATAAAACACTGAATATTATATAATGAAATAGAATAATAATGAGAGGACTAGAAGGTCCACTCATGCTTGCGTTTTTGTCCAACCGTACAAGTTGAGACAGCATGCAAACCATTGCTAACTGGCGATTGTTTTGCTGCGTCTTTTATATAGTTTGAGGACAATTTGGGGCGCAATTATCGACGCAACTATATCGTTCGCTGTCACCAGCTTAATCTACAGTATCGCCGTCTGGTTCATTCCCGCGATTATCATGGACTTCTGTTTCTTCGCTAAACTCTACTACGGGCCTCTGGACACGGCAGGGAGCATTAGAAATGGCCATTTGAAAACGAACGCTATCGGGAAAATTCTTGACGTGATTTTTGGTGCTATCAATAGTGTCGTTAGATTCATTGGAACAACAATTAGAGATATCAGAGGCCGCCGTGTGTAAATCACACATTATTAGGGCTTAAGGGGGTACACTAATGAACTAAAAAGAACTGGAACGTTATTTCCCGATTAACATGACTAAACTTTTTGAAGCCAAATGCCACCTCCAGACACGCGTGTTCTACCTCTAGACACGCGTGTTTCCTTTAGACTTCGGGCGAAAACCCGAATTACGAGATTGGTTGACTATTAAAATGCGTTTTGTGTTACGTGAAATGACTTCGCATGACACTGCATTTGGGAGAAATAGTGTTGCAGTTCTTTTTATTTTAGGGAGTAAGTACACTGTATGTCGGCGGCCATCAGCCTTCTGCCACTTGCCATTGATATAAATTCTTCCATCTTTTCCCGGATAATTTACGTTTGATTTGTTCAGTACATTTCGCGAGAAGAAACCCCACCTGTGCACCCAAGACTGAAACGACAACTGGCGGTTATATCTGTGTTAATATTTGAAGTGTAATTGGGTGGCAGTTTCAGTCTTTCCATGGGTTTTCTCGGCCTGATAGTTTACCGTGAAGACAAATTTCGTTGTTAGACTAACCAGAAGACTAAGTGAACCAATCAGAATGCATAAATATTAACAACCTCCGGTAAAAAGATACATTATTTACAATTTTACATGATTCATCATTATTACTAAAAACAGTTTTAAACTGGGATAATCTATTATGACCAAATATATGACGAATTGGGTTACATATAAAAAGGCCTTTGTAATCCGTACGACAAAGCTTAGTAAAACTTTATTCATGGCTGATTTTGTAAATTTCACATGGAGTATCATTACGAAAATTGAGGGTTCAGAAAACACCTAGTTTAGTTTATACCCTGTTGTGTCTGTCATCTCATAAAACAAAAATAGCGGCTGGGTAACTATTGTTAAAATTGCTTCATTTGAAAAGAAGTGTTGGCATTTCCTTCTAAAAACGCGACCATGCACTTTCCGATTAAAAGCCGAACTTTGATGTCCAGCAACCTCTAATGTTATCAGCCCATCTGTTACATCAGGGGAAAGCCACATCAATATACGCCACCTGCTCAGAACAACCACAAAACAACCGGGTCAAACGTTTGCGCATGCGCAATTTCTCGTTTATTGTATTGCCAACTGCCAAGTTTGCATATGATGAATACCGCTGGGTTTTTTCCTCGCCTGGGATGAGCCGGGTTCAAATGCACATTCCTTATCCTCGTCCGTGTTAGTCACATCAATTGCGAAAAGACTGGGAAATAGTATGCCGCTTACCACTTTATAAAGCTCCGAAATTAAGTTGACAAAATTACCAATAAACCTTTTTCATAAAACGTCAAACGCGGAAAGCCTGATATGTCATATAACACGAAGTTTCATTAGCTCCGCAATGGGCCAATCAAACTAACATCAGGTTTTCGGTTTGACGTCAAGATATGCGAAAGGTCAAAGGTGTATTGCAAGAGATGAAATTTTAAAGCTGTTAACCCAAGAAATATGGGACACAGAGATTGCTACCTTATATCGCCAGGGGCGTAACTAGAACGATAATTGGGGGGGGGGTGAATATTCATATATTCAGTTCTGCCCGACGGATTTCTGTTGTAAACTATTGCAATTACAAAAGAAATCCGTAGGGCAGAACTGGATATATGAATATTCACCCCCCCCCCCAATTATCGTTCTAGTTACGCCCCTGTATATCGCGCAGGCGCTTTTTTATTTCAGTTTCTTCTGTGTTTTCTCTCAATACGTTTTCACGCGCTCTTCTAAGAGCACGCGCATGTGCAAAACGTTTGACCGCGGTGTTCCAGCCAGGGGCATGGTTCCTGTTCAGTCATTTTGACACTTTGTTGGAGGTACATGAAGTATTAGAGCAAGTATTTTTTATGTTTTCCTGTTTATAATGTTGGTTTGTTAAAATAATATATATATATTTATATATATATATATATATATATATATATATATATATATATATATATATATATATATATATATATATATATATATACATATATATATGTATATATATTTGTGACTTTTGTCTTTGTGATAAATTGTGGCAGTATAGTGCTGGAGATTGGTTAAGCTGGGACATTTTAAATGCAAAATTCTAGTGTTATCTTACCAATAATGAGCATACTCCATTCTAAGGTATATTCACCACTGTACATCAAATGGCATATAGAAATTTTATTTACAATGTTTACATGACTAATAACTCTCTGATATCAATATATACTTCTTTTCTTATTTACATTTAGTTTCGATAAAAATATAGGCTGAAGTCATAACTGGTGGAACCATCACCATAAATGTTACTGGACACTAGAACAGCCTGGTAAATGGCTTTTCTTACAGGTAGGTTAACTTTGTCTAGATTTACTGGTCATAAAGAAAGAGTTAGGTGATATGTTGAGAGTATTTCCAGGCCCCAAAATCTTTCCTCATTAGGCTTATATACTAAGCGAAATCCTTTCAACATCATTGGCGATGATCTTTGAATCCACATCATCGCCGCAAATACGAAATACAAACTCTGTATCATATGGGATGTGGATGACGGCCCTGTAGCTATTCCATAACCAACCGGTACTACCCCTCTGCCGAAACGATACCACAGCCGATGGACTGTAACCCAATATAGCCCAGGTCATAGTCATTACACGACTTCTGCTGTGTGTCAGTTCAAGACAGTCAGTTTGCTTGCGATCCACAGAAAAATAGGGGCATCCCTTGAAGTCCCCATATAACTTTTTGCCACCATTCAAATGGACAACATCCCATGTCCCTATGCTGCTCAATGCCTGGCTGGCAAGACTCAACGTAGTGTTAGAAAGTCGACCCGTAAAATAACATGGGATGATAGAGTCTACGATTGAGCCGACATAACCTCGTTGAAAGCTTTCGATGAATTGCGAGCACTTGTCAGGAGTGACCACCTGTGGCTCTTCGCTAATCCCCTTATCAACATGCAACTTCTCGTTCACAAAAATTACTCTCGGCTGCAAAAAATCGTCACGAATTCGCACATCGCAACGGAATAAATGATCTCTCAGAAGCTTGGCTTTTCTCTTAAGACTAAACAAAGCGTTCTCGTGCTCGATTTCATATGTGACCATGACCGAATCAGAGCCATTGTATTTCGATTGAATCCATGATCTACCGTCCCGACTCAAACGTACTTTGCCAGACCAATTCTTAATCTCCAAGATGTATAACCCAGTTTCATGAAGTAAGACGAGATCTATCTCCCTTTTCCTCGCCTGGTATTCGTCTGGTACGCGCAATCCATAAAATATCGTCTTGGACGAATGCCCGTTCCGTAACAAAGTCGAAGCGAAGGCTTCCTCGGCGTCTCGTCCAACTTTGTTTTGTTCGTCGACAGAATGCTCGCGTGGATTGCATGAAATACTTGCATCTTCCAGACGCTTTCGTAAGTCGAACATTTCCACCGTTATTAGCGTAAGAATTGGTTAAAAATGTCCGCAAATCATCTAAATAATCGACTGTATTTTAAAAACTACGTAGTCGAAGCTGACAGGTGCTTTTGTTTACCTCCTTTGTTGTCGGTTACCAGGCTACGCACCTGAAACGCGGCCAATTAGTAAACGCGGCAGAACCACTGAGCTATATAATAATTCCATTATATACAGCTCAGTGGGCAGAACCAGAACGTTCCACTGATCTCAGAAAACGCGGATAGCCCGGGTAGAACCATTGAACTGTGAAGTCTGTAATAAAACTAGGCGCGTAACTAGAACGATAACTGGGGGAGGGTGAATATTATTCATATATTCAGTTCTGCCCTACGAATTTCTATTGTAAGCTAATTGCACTTACAAAAAAAATCCGTCGGGCAGAGATGGTTATTTGAATATTCACCTCCCAATTATTGTTCTGGTTACACCACTGAATAAAACCTGAACGCTAACTTGGCCGCCATCTTTGAAGCCAAATTTGGTAGTAGAGAGTAGAGAGTAGAGAGTAATTATCTAGGAATGGCCAGAACTATGTAAAATACAATCATTTGCTAATTTTTATTAAAGAATTGAACGAGAAACAGAGTTTTTGCTGCCATTTTTGGCTTGAACCAAGTATAGCGCTGAACTATAGGAGTTAGCAACTTAACGTTCCACTTGATATTGCAGTTTACTGAGTAAAACGGGCAGTAGCCCTGACAGTATACTTCAATGATACTCTAAATGCTTTAAACTCCCGTTCACACGAAAGCGGTATGCGATATAGTTTCGCTAAGGCGTATGGATTAGAAAACGGAATGCTAGCAGCGAGCTGTAACGTTTGAAACCGTATCAATTCTACCATCAAGGTACCATGTAGTGCAAAACGCTTTGACACAAATTTTGTTTTAAAAATACTTCGACAAAGTTGTTTTCGCTGCTATTAGTGCTATATTCAAACACGTTTTTATACGTAATGATATTCTTGAAATTTCGCGCTAGACAATTTCGTAGAAATAATGAATTCATACTGTTTTCGGGTTTTTAAGATAATTTTCTTAGTATTGCTGAAAGATCATCGAGGTTGTACGAAATATTTTTGGTAAATTTATGTTTGTGCAAGAGGTGCTTGAACCCCATAACCTTGTAACCTTGAACCCCTGTATTGTATTTACAGCTTTGGAATGTTGCCAACACCCTCCCCGGGCGGAGGCCACGGGGGCCGCAGTGCGACTTTAACAAATTCTGTAAACATCAAAGAGATTGTAATCACCCTATAATCATTTATTTAAAGATATACTTGCAAACAATCAATTTTTGTTTGCAATCAAAGTGCTAATCATGATTAGTTCGCTATGAAAGCATTATTGATGGTCTTTTCACTAATGCCTATGGTCTTCGGCGACATGCGGCTTATTTCCTGCCAGGATTGCGATGACGGTGGGGCCTGCCATGGCGGTGGTGCCTACCATGGCGGTGGTGCCTGATATGACGCCATGCATCCTTACTTTCTTTCTGGTGTTTGTTCTTTGGTGCGGGTGTCGTTTGTGGTGTGGGTTTGGGCTGTTGTGGTGGTTGGGTTTGGGGCGGTTGCTGGACTTGTTGTGCTGGTTTGGCTGTTGTTGGTTGCTGCCCTTGTGGAGGTTGGGCCGATGCCGGGGGTTGTGGAGGTTGGGTTGGAGGTTTCACTGCTGCGGTGGGTTTTCCTTGCTGTGGAGGTTGGGTTGGTGCGGGGGGTTTTCCTTGTTGTGGAGGTTTGGTTGGTGCGGGGGGTTTTGGAGATTGGGTTGGTGCGGGGGGTTGGGGAGGTTGGGTTGGTGCGGGGGGTTTTCCTTGTTGTTGAGGTTTGGTTGGAGCCTGAGGTTTTACTGGCTGTACAGCTCGCCTTCCACCTTGACCCTGCTCGTCTAATCAATTTGAAATAATAAAATACACAATATTACGAACACTGGGATTTATTTTTTCTGATCTTAACAAGGCCATTTGAATTCGAGACCACTGTTTGAGAGTTTGGAGGAAACTTCGCCATGCCTGTCTGTGCCATGTTGTAAAAATTTGTAGCAACCGAAATTTCAGCCTCATTAATAAAGGCGGTTTTCCACAAGGCGGAATTTTTCGATCGAACGAAATTTTTCGCTCGACTTTCTTTTCAATTGTGACCGGTGAAGGGAATCCGCTATTGTCGAATTCGGCAGTGCACTTGTGCCTAGGCCTAGGGGCTGCCGTGCAAACCAAAATAAATCATACCGTTTTAAATGATTTTCAACACCGCGACCCGTTGCACAAAGCACGATTTCTTTTAATGGCAACATTCCTAATGAAACCTCGTTTTGTGAAATTGCCTTTGTACCATATTTCAAAAAGATTACCATATTTCAAAAAATATTAAGTTTTCTCAACGAATGGTCGTATAGTCCGTTCCTGCTTATAGCCTATTAGAATTTGTAAGAATTAATACTCCACCTCTCCCTAAGCTTATATATAGGTAACACTTGATCGATCTTTCCTCTCAAAAAGTTTATAACGTATACTTGAAACGGCTTATGCACGAAGAGTAAATAATCAATTTGTGGAAACACCATTGCACTGATAAAGATCCGGGTTAGCAGACCGAAATCTCTGCGTGCATATACAGTACTGTCCAGAAATAACCTAAAACTGCGGTTGCGGTTCGGCTGCGGTCGACCGATAGAAACCGCATACGACCGCAAGGAAAAAAATACCTTCACAGTTGCCGTTCGCTTCCGAACGAAACGAAATGTTATCAGACCGAGGTTAAACCCAGGTTTACCGCGGTTTTTGTTAGGTTATTTCTGGACAGAATTGTAACAAATACATGTGATGTTTCTACATGATTTAAGATGAGTTTAAAAATCTTGCCATTTCCGTGTGCATTGCACGTAGATATTTCTATGTAACAAATCTTGTACAAGGAATAATTTGGTAGCCAAGCCTTTACGCATACCGATAATGTTTTCTGTTTCGTCATTTGGACCTGGTGGTGATGGTTCAACTTCTGTTCCCTGCTCTGTTAACCTTTTATGCTTGCAAAGACGTGCTCTTGCCTCCAACCTGAAAAATAAAAAACGGGCGCATTCTAGCTATATAGACATACGCCTATAAAGTTGAGGCAATTTACTTTATAAGAAAAATACTCCGAAGAACAACATCTTGGAAACCCATCAAGATTCGAGCATTTAGAAAACTCAACAAGTTTACGGTAATGGTTTGACTCTAGAAGTCTTTCATTTTTCTTGTTCGACGATAACTTTAAAATGGGTTCGAAAGTCACCGTATAGACTTGTCTTGTTTTATCAAGTTTAATTCTTGGGTTAACAAGGTTCTTCTGAGTGATTTTTTTCTTGAACTTTTTCTACCTAATAATATTATTGCACTATATATACATGTTAAGAATACACGTGATGTGTTTCTACAAATTTATTAAAGTACATTCTACTTACTGCTGCAGTTGTGGAGCAAGAATAGACAAAAATATCACAAAGATCACTACTCCTTTCGACATTTTAAACCACGGCGTTTCGCTCTCTTGACGTTATCTTTGAAATGCTTTCTAGTGGGCGAAAACCGCAGATTTACCAGTCGTTTCTCGCTGGTGGTAACCAAACAAGGCTGTAATGAAAAATGGCCACCGTGTCCACTAAGATTAAAATTCGTAAAAAAAACTCTCCAAAATGAACATTCATTTCAGTTGAAATTGTTTTCGCATGATGCCTTTTTTCGCGGGTTTTGTTTGTCGGTCACAAGAAAATATTGGCGGGTGTCTTTATGGTGGACGGCAAACAAGATTAAGCAACAGCAAGACGACAAAAAGGATTTAAACTAGCAATTTTACAATTTATCTTTTCATTTCTTTGAATACGCGGTTATTACGGTAATACAGTGGTTTAATTTAATTAATTTTTAGTCTTTTGACGGGAGTCACTGCACGGTTTCCGACTTAACAACACACTACAAATATTTGCGATGATATATTTTCTTACAAGCTTACTCCATAGGAAGCCAGAGTTGTTAACATTTTGAACCATTAGTTATATTTCTAAATATATGACAGACTTTACGCTAATCTCACCCGCTGTTGAGATTTTTATAAATTAGAGTTTGTGTCCAAGAAAATTCATATTAAACAATTTCCAATTATCGACCTCCGTATTGTTATGTGCAAAACCACTTTACCGAATTATTTCGTCTTTAAAGGCTCCGAAAAGCGTCCAGAATAATAATTTTCCCTATATCCATAGGCATAGAGGGCTTCAGCGAAAAATATATTTGATAGTTTATACAATATTTTGTGTTTTTGTACTATAAGGTTTGACTAAAAATTAAAGTACATTATGTTTTAACATTTATGTTTGGTTCGGATAAAATTGGCCGGTTGTATCAAGACCGTTTAGCTTAAACGGTCGAAAAGTTCAAAATAAAAAGCGAGTCTATCGCTTTATCCAACAAGCGAACTAATTGTTTTTAACCTTAATACAAAGATACTTTTTACAACTACATATTCAGTGCATAATATTCAAGTTGACTCATTCAAGAGGGATGTAAGAGCGCTTTGACTTATCCACCGTTTAATACAACCGGCCCCAGTTGGATTTACAGTCGTATATAAATGAATTACAATTTATTTTACAAAAATATTCATAAAAATTACAACAATTCTTATCATAATATGTAGTAATTAATATTATGTAATATATATATAATTATATATATATATATATATATATATATATATATATAATATTATTATTATTATTACTAATACTAATACAAAAATTTGTCCAAAAATATGAAACAGTTTTGTTTAACAATTTAAAAATTTAACCACCCTTTAAGAATTGTAGCTAATAATTCAATTGGACTATATATAGCTATATCTACAAACGGGTAAATGAGCATTTAGCGTTTCTCCGTTGTTTGAAAGTTCATATGCATGATTCGTAGCTAACTAGCTTTTGTTTCTCTTGTCTAACCCTTATATAAGTCTTGATTATAGAAGCTTCATGTTTGTTTGAAATTCTTCTTAATTGTTGAAGTCTACAGATTCTTGGCCTGTAGCTTAGAAAACCATAAAATACAATTGTAATCTTTGTTTTATTTTGTTCAAATCCATCGGATGATTAATTAATCAACTCGTATATTTTGATTTTTGTTTTCTTTTATTTGAGCCGCATTGATTTTTCTTATAGAACTGTTTGTTTTCTCTCGTTCAAATTCCACAGCTGCATAATTGCTGATGCAGTCTATGGACGCTTATTTGCTTGAGGCCTCGATCGAGTTCATCTTATTTCAAGCAATGGTGCTTCTTAATTTTCATCTTTTTGTTTGCGTTTCCTTGCTCCTCTGGTTCTACGTTTTGTGCTTGTATTTCTTTTGTATCGAGATGCAGACATCCTGCCTTCTTTTATATGGAGGTAAATAACTTCTTTCAAGCTTAAACTTAATAGATTCATTCAAATATTTCCTTTGTGAGTAGGATTTTGACTACAGTTTTCTTCTCTGGCTTTCAAATTGACACGAAGCAACAAATTTTTGCTTTTGAGGTACATAAATGTAGTGGCATAATGTGACGGTGACGTATTGGTGATGACGTATCAACCTGACGATTTAGTCCAACTATATTGCTACTATGAATAATAATTTCTTTAAACTGGGTCAAGTATAATTATTTCCACTAAATATTAGCTCAGGCGGTGCGTGGGGGGCGCATTAGGAGACGTATCTGTGACATATAAAGCGTATATGGTGTGAATTCGAACGTGTGAATTCTGGTGAGAATTTAGCATTCACACGTTTAATAAGGAAATTGCGACATTTGAATTAGAAATCGTTACTTTTAACATGCTGAAACTTCGGAATAGAAAAATTGCAATCGCATTACCTTTGCGAAAGAAATTTGTACACTTGGAAAGATTATCGGATTTCTTGGTTTTCTAAAAGCACATTCAAGCGTGCTTTCATATTTTGCTTTAATTCTAGACATGAATTATTGAGATAGCAATAAGATGCGCTTTCTCGTTTATTGAATGGACACCTGTCAGTGTTTACATGTGGCTTCCAAACAGGAATATTTATTACCATGTTCCCCCGATGTGATTTTCGGAATATCCTTTCTTAAGTAGGAAAATAAAAATATTTGAAATTAGGCTTTTCGTTCATTTGTAAGCTATACGTAAAGTTTAAGATTGCTGAAAGAAAGATTGAGATTGCTTGAAAGTTTAACATTCCTGAAAGTTCCACTAATTGTACGAAGGATTCCGAAGGATTTTTTATACAGGGTGGCCATTTTTCATTACAGTTTTTGTTTTCTGTCACAAGTAAAGTTACGGGTGTCTACGTTTAAAAGCTATGGGAGAAATACGTCTTGCCATCATTTCATCTGGTAGTTTTGCAAAGACAGGACAACTTCTACAAAATGTCGAAACAAGCGATCATCATTGCCGTCATTTTCACGGTTTTAAGTTATGAACTACAGTGGTAAGATCTGAAATTTCTCTTGATCGGCATGAGGACTTTTATCGCTTAAGAATTTTTATGCTTTTTCAAGGACAAAGACAGCGGCCCTTCCAACAAACTCCGCGGAGAAGGTGCCATCAGCTGCCGAAAAGGAAGCTATGGGTAAGTATTCAGTGCTTTACAGCGAGGTTTTACATACACGGAAGTCACCCTGTAACTATAAATACAGCCAGGTATTTGGGACAAACGCATCTTGTATTATTTCAAATGTTAGATAAGAATTCCAAAGAGGAAACAAAAGAATCCCAAAATTCGGAAAAACCCGCACAAGACGAATCTGCTGGTAAGTAGCCGGTCAGTTTGAATCACCTTAAACCCATACTAAATCTCGTTGCAACCGTAAATATACTTGGAAATGTTAGATTAATGCATGCATCGTGTATGACTTAATAGAAGAGGCATCAAACGATGAAGGGAACTCAAAAGCAGTAGAAGATAAACCTTCTGGTAAGCAGGCGGCCGTTTTAAAATCACTTTAAGGTCACACTATAGTCTCAAAGCATCTGCATGTAAATATACCACGGATCGAATCAGTTGCGGATATCGATCCGGGATCAGTCACCACTTCTGTCACTTGCATTAACATTCGTTGATTTCTATTTTAAAATATTTTTGGAAATCGATAACCAGTAGCATTGTCATTAAAGTATTCTGAATTTGAAATTAGGCCGTGATATTTCTTCTGCCAAAACCGGAATCCATCACTTCTCGGAATGCGAGACTAACTCATGTTGTATTACTTTAACTCTTTTAGAGGAAGATCCTAAAGAAGAATCCGAAACAGAAGAAGGTTAGATATCTTTAGAGTCACACCAATTTCTCTAAGAATACAGCCTTCTATAAATACAGCCAGGAATGTTGTATCATCATCTTGTTGTGACGCTTTTTGTACCGCCTTAAATTTTAGAAGGAGATTCTAAAGACGAATCCGAAGATTCGCCGAGCTCAGAAGAAGACATGCCTGGTAAGCGGCTGGCTGTTGAGTTAAATCACTTTAAACTCAGATGAAAATCTCTATATGCAACTATATAAAACCACAAAAGACTATAAATATAGTCCGTCATGTGAGAATAACACATTTTATATCGCTTAAAATGTTAGAAGAGGATTCTGAAGAGTCTGATGATGCTCAGGACTCAGATGAAGACGACGAGGAACCCACTGGTGAGTTGCTTGCCGTTTTAAATCACTCAGGACTCAAACCAAAGTCTAACGTCTCTATGTAACTATAAAACAGTTTCGTCATGTTTGTTCAACGCGTTTTCTTTCGTTTTTTTTTCACTTTAAATCTTAGACGGGGATTCTAAAGAGGAATCAGAAGATTCTCCAAGCTCAGAAACAGAAGAAGGTTAAAACAACTTCAAATCCATTTCTTGCACTAAACTTACCAAATCTTGCACTATTCCCAATCATAATGTAACTAGAGATATAATGCGGAATGTGGGGTTAACGCATGCTGCATCACCTTAAATTTTAGAAGGAGATGCTCAGAACTCAGAAGAAGACAAAGACGATGAACCTGCTGGTAAGTGACCGTTTAACACCTGGACTCCAAAAATTCCCCGTGTAACTGTAAACACAGTGAGGAATGTGAGACTAAAGAAAGTTCTATCACCTTTAATTTTAGAAGAAGATTCAGAAGAGGAGTCAGAAGATTCTCCGAGCTCAGAAGAGGAGGACGAAGAAGAAGAAGAAGACGAAGAACCTACTGGTGAGTGACCAGTCGGGTTAAATACAGGCTGGAATGCCAGACTAACACTTACTACCGTAAATTACGTATACCGTAAATTTTAGATGGTGAGTCTCAAGAAGATGTAGAAGATGAAGAAGAAGAAGACGGCGACGACGAACCTAGTGGTAAGTTGCCGGCTATTTGTTATCAAGTTGAGCTCGCACCAAAGATTCTCTGCAACTGTAAATTCACCGCACTTTTTTCTCTAAAAATGTTAGAGGATGATTCGGAAGAGGAATCAGAAGATTCTCCGAGCTCAGAAGCCGAAGAAGATGAAGAAGACGAAGAAGAAGGAGACGAACCTTCTGGTACGTGACCTGCCTTCTGTATGTTTAGATATTTAAACGTCGATATGGTTCATGTTCAAAATTTCCATTTAGTTAAAAACATAGCTAGAAATTAAAGACTTACGTATGTTCTACTAATAATGTTAGAAGATGATGCTGAGGAGGAATCGGATTCTATGGACTCGGACGAAGAAGAAGAGGAACCAACTGGTAAGTGGCCGGCCGGTTTAAATGAATTTAAAATCTGAGATGTCCACGAAACTATCATTATTTCGTATAAAATTCTCAGCGACTATTGATTTTCATGCATTCTGATTGGTGTCTGTGATTCACTGTCTATATTCACTTTGCCTTCGGCTCTGCCTAAACCCGAATCCACTGGCCTCTTCTCGGAATGCAAGTTGTTGTTAAATAACTTAAATAACAAACTAACGCTCGTTCTATCGCTTTGTTGTTAGACGACGATGCTGAGGAAGAATCAGACTCGGATGCAGATGGGGACAAACCTAATGGTAAGTCACCGCGCAGTTTATATAACGTTCAACGTTTACAGAGGTCTCCATTTAACTAATAAAAATAAATATATCAATTAATAACAGACTAACGCATGTCGTATCACTTTAATGTTTGAAGATGACTCTAAAGAGAAATGAGAAGAATCTTTGGACTCTGAAGAATAATAATAAAAATAGCAATGATAGTAATAGTATTTAATTCCTACTTAAAAATCATCTGATTGCGTCTAAAATAAATTATTATATTTGTGAAATCCTCTGAAGTAGTTTAAATTCTATTGCATGAAACTAAGCAAGCGGGTAATAATCAATCATGCAGGATTAAAATTTAAAACTATCACAATAAAGAATAATAGTATATACAAATTTAAACAAACATCGATTTAAACCCGTGCTAAACATTCTATCGATCCTAAGATGCCGAAGTAGATAACCATGTTCTTTGGGCCTTGTCATGCAGCTTCCAGCGTTCCTGAGGTATAAATTCTAACCAAAAGTTTCTGTGCGTTTCATAAATGATCTTTCACCTAATTTTAAAAACAAAAGCGCAGTTTCCATAGCAGCCTATCCTCACCACAACGAACCTTGTTTGGTTGGAAAGAAATGATGGAATTGATAGAAACTTGCCTGATTGCAGGCAAACGCTAAACAAGTTTGACTTTACACCGGCTTTAAATCTTCAATATTTGCCAAAAAAGTTTGTCCGTTCAATTAATACTGTAACTTGTTATGTTTTAAAAAATTTTTAAGTAAAACTAGATATATGTTTCTCGGCGAAAGGTCTGTTCACTTCTGTTTGCTTTATAGTCTGTTGACTTGCTGCAGTGTATCTGGGCAGCAAATTAACTTAGACCAACGGAAGACTGCTTTATCAATAACCTGACTTCATTTTGTCAGAAGTGAATTGGATCCGAAAAAATTGGATCGTGTGAACAGACCTTAAAAGATTCCTTGAAATTTTGTTCTGAAAACATTTTAACTTGACCGTTTGGCTAAAACAATTAAACACATGGACATAAGTTCATATACATACGAAAGACAACCGACGGAATGTCATGCAAGAAAGGAGAACTGATTATGAATCAATGTTTGCGAGGTGACCGAATTCGAATATACGTGTGGCTGTGGCAAAATTGATTATTTTTCCATATTTCATGCGAGTGATATATTTCTATTTTAAATATAGATGACCTTTGAGAACCATACTTGCATGAGGAGGATATAGCCTCTGACAATCTATATTTAGGAGGTCTATGTTAAAACAATTTTAAAAAGTTGCTGTGAGCTAACCAAGCATGTTGCCGTTTTTGAGACAATCCCAGAGTTTGTGGTTTTCTCCCGGCTGTAACTCTTTGAGTTAAAACTTCAACCAAGAAATTAAGCTCAGTCCTGAAAATTTGACGTTTAAGCTCCGTTTATACTACGGTCAATTTATCGGCACGGCACGGCTAAAATTGGTACCCGTGCCAAATTTTATTAGTCCTCAGGCTACAAAAACCAAGGCCGAGCACAGATAAAATGGGCACGGGTACCCATTTTAGCCGTGCCGTGCTAATAAATCGAGTGTACTGTAATCATTTTAACCCAGGATGAAGTTATTCAATCAATATTTACCACTTTTTTACTTCATATATTCTTTTTGTCGTTTCTTATTTGCCAACATTAACATTGAAAGTGTAAATATAGTCTAACTTGCTAAGCCACAACACTAACTTGTTATACCAGCTGTTTAAAGTTCTGTTAAAATCGTAATCAAACAAGTGCTTTGTTCCTATGTTATATTCACATGTTATTGTGTCAATTTGTAAGCCATGTTATCCTAATTATATTTGCATATCTCAAGCAACTATTTTTCAATTTATACGTGAAAAATTCGCAATTAATCAATTTAATAATCGTTGAAGACAACCTAGTGTACAATTGTAAACGGTTTTTGAGAGAATGATAAAATTATATAATATATAGGATGCATGTAATCAGCGCTTTTCCCGCTGGCTAAATTGGCACCAGTCAAAAATGTACATGTGGTCGCAAACAAAGTACTTTTGAAATTATGTTATCTCAAAATGATTTTTAGACGCCCCTGGCAGTCAAAGAGGGAACACTTTAACTTTAAGGTTAACAAAATGAATTACGAGATGCTTTTCGTCTTTATGTGCCTAATGGAAAATTCCCCTAATAAATTGAATTTTAAAATGAGGATTTTCATCAGTACTAATAAAAATCACGAAATGCATTCATTTCATGCATACAAAACGGTTGGAAATTAATTTTGAAAATGTTTTAATTTGAAATTTTCAATTTCCTGTTTACAATGATTTTATGTGTGTATTTTGTAACTTTCTACCTGTTAAAACCTTGAAATCTATATTTTAGCCAGAGCAATAAAATTTTTCCAATCACTCGTCTAATTTATTTACTATATTAATTCAAGACTTTGTATATATAGGATATTACACGATTACGAAAAGATATGATTTAATGTTAGACTGGCAAAAACAGCATCTCATGAGTGAGCGCAATTCTGTTTATTATATGGACAAAAACTAAAGAGAAACTTCATAAACTCGGACTGCCATATAATGAAATGGAAAATTTAACTATTAAAAAAGAAGGATTTTTAAAGAGTATTGCAAAGCGTGATTTTCGTTAGAACTGAGTTTTTTTACAAAATTTAACCATTGGAAAGAGTTTGGAAATGTTTTAATTTGAAATTTTCAATTTCCGGTTTAAACCGTGATTTTCTTTAAACTGCAAAATGATTAAATAGTTTATAATTACAGGCTTTGTTTTTTTGTCACAAGTAAAATTACAGGTAGCTACGTATAAAGCGAAGTGATAAGTTCTTCAGATCTTCAATTCATCAAGTAATCTTTGAGAGAACAAATCGCTTCTACAAAATGTCGAAGCGAGCGATGACCCTTGTGGTCATCCTTGCCGTTTTGGCTCTGGGAATTCAATGGTAAGAATTATAAATTTCTTTGTTTTCGCACGAACACGTTTATTGATTTAGGAATTCTTTGCTTTTTTTCAAGGATGGAAGCGAAAGAAATCCCAAAATATGACCTAAGTAAAACTGCATCGTCTACCGTGAACAAACCCACGGGTAAGTTGCGTGATTATTTTAAGTTAAGCACATACAATCTATTTTTATTAGTTAATAGTAACATCTTGGAAAAATTGGGCTAAAATCCCTTTTGAAGTGATCTGAAAGTCTGTTCAACCTTATTTTTGTATTTTTGAAGCGGATTTGAAAATGGACGATAAACGTTCGTTAGATTCAGATGCAGAAGAAGACAAAAATGAAGGTATCAACATTAAATTTTTGCGAATCTTTCTTTTTACCTAAAACGTAGCAAGTAATAGAAGTCATGTCATTTTAAATCAGAAGATGTTGCGAAAGAGGACTCTCCAGAGGAAGAAAGCGAATATCAAGTGAACGATCCTACTGGTTAGTTGACGATCATGTTTAACGTCATTTTTATTTTATAAAACATGGTCAGAAACGTAAGATCAACCCAAGTTGCATTCCTAAAATGTGGCGATTTGAAACAAGAAGATTCGTCATCATGAACTTTTATCGAAATCTCTTTCTATTTGAAGCAAATCGAAACTGCGTCCGGGAAAGATTGAGAAAATTGAGACATCTCTGGAAAGGAAAGCGACATCGAAAAGGGAGGTGCGTCCGGGTAGGACGGCGACACAGAAAAAGGAGGCGCGTCTGGGTGGGACGGCGACATCGAAAAGAGAGGCGCGTCTGGAAAGGAAGGCGACACCGAAAAGGGAGGCGCGTCTGGAAAGGACGGCGATATCGAAGAGGGAGGCGCGTCTGGAAAGGACGGCGATATCGAAGAAGGAGGCGCGTCTGGAAAGGAAGGCGACATCGAAAAGGGAGGCGCGTCTGGAAAGGAAGGCGACACCGAAAAGGGAGGCGCGTCTGGAAAGGACGGCGACATCGAAAAGGAAGGCGCGTCTGGAAAGGAAGGCGACACCGAAAAGGGAGGCGCGTCTGGAAAGGAAGGCGATATCGAAGAAGGAGGCGCGTCTGGAAAGGAAGGCGACACCGAAAAGGGAGGCGCGTCTGGAAAGGACGGCGATATCGAAGAGGGAGGCGCGTCTGGAAAGGAAGGCGACATCGAAAAGGGAGGCGCGTCTGGAAAGGAAGGCGATATCGAAGAAGGAGGCGCGTCTGGAAAGGAAGGCGACATCGAAAAGGGAAGGCGACATCGAAAAGGGAGGCGCGTCTGGAAAGGAAGGCGACATCGAAAAGGGAGGCGCGTCTGGAAAGGACGGCGACACCGAAAAGGGAAGCGCGTCTGGAAAGGACGGCGACATCGAAAAGGGAGGCGCGTCTGGAAAGGAAGGCGACATCGAAAAGGGAGGCGCGTCTGGGTAGGAAGGCGACACCGAAGAAGAAAGATAAGCTGGGTAATAATTCATAACGTCAGGAATAGCTGGCAACTCTGGAGAGTATTGGGAAATGGGCGGGGAAGGGAATTCTGCAGAATACGGCGAATCCGGAGAGGGTGGCAAGTTCACAAAGTCTGGGCACCATCGCGGAATATCCCGAAGAAAACACGAATCAATAAAGCAATATTAAAAATAACGCGAGACGGGAAAGGGTGGAAAATCTGGATAAGATCACCAAAACGGCCAATCTGGAGATTAAGGCGTCAATGGAGAGGGATAGGGCGAGGGAAATGGAAATTAAAGCGAACCCGAAACCCTTGGGGTAAGTGGATGGCCGTTTAGCCTTTTCCCCACGTCTATTTGTAACGGTTAAAACTTTTTAACTTGAACTCACGCCTAAGTCCCTATGTGGGTATAAATACATCCAGGAATGTTGGACTAACGCATGTTGTATCAATTTAAATGGTAGAAACGGATTTTGAAGACCAATCAGAAGATTCTTCGACCCCAGAAACAGAAGAAGACAAATTTCCTGGTAAGCGACAGGTTGAATAACCTTGAACTGATACCGCGAATTTTACGTAATTCTTAACATGGCCAGAACTGAAAGACCGAATGTTTGACCACTTTGAATGCTATAAGATGATACAGAGGAGGAGTTAAATTCTTTTTACTCGGATACAGAAGGCGACCAACCGTTTTTTTTTCACTGTAAATCTTAGGCGGGGACTTTGAAGAGGAATCAGAAGATTCTCCGAGCTCAGAAACAGAAGAAGGTTAAAATAACGTCAACTCCATTTGTTATACCAAATCTCACCAAATCTTGCAAAATACCCAATATTAATGTAACTAGAGATATAGTGCGGAATGTGGGATTAACGCATGCTGTATCACCTTAAGTTTTAGATGGAGATGCTCAGAACTCAGAAGAAGACGAAGACGAAGACGAAGAACCTGCTGGTAAGTGACCAGTTTTTACTTGAACTCCAAAAAGTCTCCGTGTAACTGTAAATACAGTGAGAAATATGCGAGACTAAAGAATGTTCTATCACCTTTAATTTTGAAAAAAGATTCAGAGGGGGAATCAAAAGATTCTCCGAGCTCAGAAGAAGAGGACGAAAACGAAGAAAGCGAAGAACCTACTGGTAAGTGACCAGTCGGGTTAAATCAACTTCAACTTATATTAAGTCTTCACCTAGCCATAAATACAGGCTGGAATACCAGACTAACACATATTACTGTAAATTACGTGTACCGTAAATTTTAGAAGGTGGGTCTCAAGAAGATTCAGAAGATGCAGAAGAAGAAGAAGACGAACCTAGTGGTAAGTTGCCGGTATCAAGTTGAGCTCGCACCAAAGATTCTATGCAACTGTGAATTAGCACTTTTTGTGTCTCTATAAATGTTAGAGGATGATTCGGAAGAGGAATCAAAAGATTCTCCGAGCTCAGAAACTGAAGAAGGAGACGAACATCCTGGTAAGTGACCTTAATGTTCAAATATAAGTATAAGGATATACACCTAAGTGTTTAGATATAAGAATAAGGATATACATCATGTATCTCTTTTGTTTAGATATTAAAATATGGATATGCATCATGTATCTGTATGTTGTTTAGAGATTTAAACGTCGATATAGATCATGTTCAAAATTTCTATTTAGTTAAAAACGTAGTTATAAAAATTAAAGACTTACGTATGTTCTACTACTAATGTTAGAAGATGATACTGAGGAGAAATCGGATTCTATGGACTCGGACACAGAAGGAGAGGAACCAACTGGTAAGTGGTCGGCCAGGTTAAATGAATTCGAAATCTGAGATGTCCGCAAAACTATTATTATTTCGTATAAATTTCGAAACGACTATTGATTTTTATGCATTCTAATTGGTCAAGATTCAGTGTCTGTGATTCACTGTCTATATTCACTTTTCCTTCGGCTCTGCCTAAACCCGAATCCACCGGCCACTTCTCGGAATGCAAGTTGTTGTTAAATAACTTAAATGACAGACTAACGCTCGTTCTATCGCTTTGTTGTTAGACGACGATGCTAAGGAAAAATCAGACTCGGATGCAGAAGGGGACAAACCTAATGGTAAGTCACCACGCAGTTTATATCAAGTTATACGTTTACAGAGGTCTCCATTTAACGATAAAAGTAAATATATTAAGTGATAATAACAGACTAACGCATGTTGTATCACTTTAATGTTCGAAGATGACTCTAAAGAGAAATGAGAAGAATCTTTGGACTCAAAAACTGAAGAATAACAATAAAGATAGCAATAATAGTAATAGTCTTTAACTCCTACTTAAAAATCATCTGATTATGTTTAAAATAAATTATTTGTGAAATCCTTGGAAGTATTGTTTAAAATGTATAAATTTTATTGCATAATACCAAGCAAGCGGGTAATAATCAATCATGCAGGATTAAAATTTAAAACCATCACAATAAACTATAGCACATAAATTTAAACAAACATCGATTTAAACCCGTGCTAAACATTCCATCCTAACATGCGGAAGTAGATAATAATGTGCTTTGGGCCTTGTCATGCAGTTTCCAGCTTTCCTGAAGTGTAAATTTTAATTAAAAGTTTCTCTGCGTTTCATAAATGATCTTTCAGCTCATTTTTAAAACAAAAGCGCAGTTTTAATAGCAGACTATCCTCACCACAACGAACCTCGTTTGGTTGGCATTTTTACTACTGCTTTCTATTCGCCTTATTAATTGTTCGTGAATTTGTCGTGAAAAACACTATAGCTTTGATAACTATCTACATAACTGCCACTTCACTTGTAACCAGCAAGCAAAAAAACTGTAACGTAAAATAGACAGGATTTAGAAAAAGGATTGACAGAAGTCTTAAGAATTGACAAAACTTAACCATTACCAGAAATTGGTAACAATATGGCTGTAGTTTCTGCACTAATTTGCATATCATGCATACATAATGTCCTTCGAGTTTTTTAATAGATCACATGCATTGAGTGAAAATATAAAACGTAAAATCGTCGGAACCACACACCTCGAGCATTTTTAGCCGACCTCTAGATCGATAGAGCAGCTATTTGGAAACGTTTTTACAATCTTTTACCCTGGGCTCGATGATGCACATGCCTTTCTACAATCCGCCAAGTTTAGAAACATATAGCTCAAAGTTTTGGCTGAGGTTTTCTCTCAACGAACTTATATAATCGCTCACACTCATACGAAAATTTCGATTCAGGTAGTTGCTGAAACGACGTGTAATACACCAAGAAATTTTGTTAAAGATATTCTGTACGGTCCGGACACTTTCGCAGTTACTTTCAAGAATATTTCAGTCTCATCAGGCAGGTAAACCTTATAGCTTTTGAACACAATCAGTTTGCCGAACGTGGAAACGACCAAGGTAAGTAATTCGATCATCAAAACGTTGCGAAACGGCTGTTCTATTGATCCAGAGGTCGGCAAACAGTTAGCAAGATTCAGAGTAACAACAATTTCACGTTGCAAATATCCACTGATATCACAACCTATAACCATGATCTATAACCATTACCTTGCAGTAAGCAGTTAAATACCACACGCATTCATTTTGCATAACTTTTTTAAAAGATTAACGAACCGAAAATTCTGAACAGCGTTATTAGGAAGTAAAATATGAGGGGAAATTACCATGAAAAGATGTATAGTGGAAATTAACAGATTTTACCCAGGATAACGAGGACCTAATGTACAATTGTATACGATTTTTCAGAGGATTATATATGCCTGCATGAATATATAATATTAAAGACGCGCTTTTTCTGCTTGCTATATTGGCACCTGTCAAAACGTACATGTGGATTGCAAACAAAATCATTTTGCAAATTTATTTTTATGTATCAAAGGAACGTACAATATCGTGTCGAACGTAAAAATCAGTCGCGTATAAGACGAATACATAAATATACACCCCTTCCTCAATTAAACTTCAACTTATGATCCTGTTCGGAAGAAAATTTTTCTAGGGAAGAAAATACCACCATGCATGCTTATATCTGCAAATTGCATTCTTAAGAAATCACTTAATTCATTCACTTTATTCATGTGTTCCTTCCACAATTAGAATTTTACCAATTTCTTCCGAAGAAATTCCGAAGAAGTTATTTTACAAAACAATAGGAAGAGTTTGAAAATGTTTGAATTAATTTGAAATTTTCAGTTTTTTGTGAGAATCCCGGAGTTTTCTCCCGGCTTCAACTATTTAAGCTAAAACTTCAACCAAGAAGTTAATCAAGCTCAGTACTTGAGCTGACATTTAATCGTTTTAACCCAGGATGAAGTTATTCAATCAATATTTACCACTTGTTTACTTAATATTCTCTTTTTGTCGTTTCCTATTTGCCAACATTAACATTGAAAGTGTAAAATAGTCTAATTTGCTAAGCCACAACACCATCTTGTTATACAAGTTTAATGTTCTGTTAAAATCGTAATCAAACAAGTGCTTTGTTCCCATGTTAACAAATGTTATTGTAAATTTGCATGATACCCCTAATTATATTTGCATATTCCAAACGTGAAAAATTCTCAAATCACGCAAATTTTCGTCCCAGACAACAAAATGTACAATTGTATACGGTTTTTCAGAGGATTATGCCAGAATATATAATGAAGACGCATGAATAAACGCTTTTCTTCCTTGCTTGAATGGCACCTGTCAAAATGTACGTGTGGATCACAAACAAAATCATTTTGACAAATTCATTTTTACGTATATCATAGGAACGTACAATATCGTGCAAAAGAAATCAGTCGCGTATAAGACGAATATATAAATATACACCCCTTCCTCAATTAAACTAGCTATGACCCTGTTCGGAAGAACTTTTTCCTATGGAAGGAAATACCACCAGGCATATATTTGTAAATTGCATTCTTAGGAAATCATGAAATTCATTCATTTCATGCACGAGTTCCTTCCAAAATTAGAATTTTACCAATTGTTTGGTAGATTGGCACCTGTCAAAACGCGCGTGTGGATCACAAACTAAATACTTTAGACATTATGTTACCTCAAAATGATTTCTGAGGCACTTGTCAGTCAAAGAGGTAATACTTTAACTTCAACTACATGAGAGATTCAACGAAGCGTGAGAGGTCTTTGAGGTATTGGAATAAGTCTTTATGACACCAAACAAGCACATGCTATTGTTGTGCTGATTATACTATTGCCAGAATCATGTTATCTGCTCATTTCAATACCTCAAATAATCTCACGCTTCTTCGAATCTTGGGTAACCGGGCTCATGTAAACAGCTCCTAGGGCTAACAAAATGAAGTAGATGATGCTTTTCTTTCATTTCGTTCAAATGCATTCATTTTATGCATGAGTTGTTTTCCAAATTAGAATTTTACTAATTTCTTTAGCATAAATTACGAAGTTTTTTTTACAAAACAGTTGGAAGAGTTTGAAAGTGTTTTAATTTGAAATTGTCAATTTCCCGTTTAAAATGATTTTATGTGGGTATTTCTAAAAAGAAGGATTGGTAGATAGTGTAACGCAAGATTTTCGTTATAGTCTTGCCTATAAAGCTTGGTACTCAATGATCTTTCACAGTTTTCAGCGGTCAATTGCTCGTGGCCATTGACGAAGAAAATAACAAAACATTTTATTCTCTAAAGTTCACCAACAATAGCCATCGCAGATTGCCGGGGACCTTTGAGAACCAGACTTGAGGAAGATATGTAGGCTCCCGTGCACTGACAACCTATATTTAGCAGGTCTATATTAAAAAAAAAGTTGCTGTGCCAAGCATGTTGCCGTTTTTGAGAGAATCCCAGAGTTGGTAGTTTTTTCCCGGCTTGAACTATTTGAGCTAAAACTTCAACCAAGAAATCACGCTCAGGATTTAGGCTGAAAATTTAACATTTAATCGTTTTAAACTAGGATGAAGTTATTCAATCAATATTTACCACTTGTTTACTTACTCCATATTTTCTTTTTGTCGTTTCTTATTTGCCAACATTAACATTCATTTGAAAGTGTAAATATAGTCTAACTTGTTAAGCCACAACACTAACTTGTTATACCAGTTTAACTGTTTAATGTCCTGTTAAAATCTATAATCAAACAAGTGCTTTGTTCCTATGTTACCAAATCACCAAATGTTATATTGTAAATTTGCATGATACCCCTAATTATATTTGCATATTCCAAACGTGAAAAATTCTCAAATCTTGCAAATTTTCGTCCCAGACAACCAAATGTACAATTGTATAAGGTTTTTCAGAGGATAATGCCTGAATACATAATAAGACGCATGTATAAGTAATCAGCGCTTTTCTTGCTTGCTAGAATGGCACCAGTCAAAACGTACATGTGGATCACAAACAAAATAATTTTGACAATATCGTGCAAAAGAAATCAGTCGCGTATAAGACGAATATATAAATATACACCCCTTCCCCAATTCAGCTTCTACTGATGACCCTGTTCAGACCATTTTCCAAGGAAAGTAATAATTCTTGCGTAAAAGAGAAGGAAATACCACAATGCATTTATCTGCAAATTGCATTCGTTAAGAAATTACGAAATTCATTCATTTCATGCATGAGTTCCTTCCCAAATTATAATTTTACTAATTTCTTTATTACGAAGTGTTTTACAAAACAGTTGGAGTAGTTTGAAAGTGTTTTAATTTGAAATTGTCAATTTTCTTTTAAAAGTGATTTTATGTGTGTGTATTTCGTAACCTCCTGATAAAACCTTAAAATTTAAGTTTTAGCCGGAGTAGTCAAATTTTTATTTACTATATTAATTCAGGACTTTGTATACATAGGATATTAAACAGTTGCGAAAAGATATGATTTAATATTAGAATGGCAAAAACAGCATCTCATGAGTGAGCGCAATTCTGTTTATTATATGGACTAAAAATAAAGAGAAACTTCATAAACTCGGACTGCCATATAATGAAATGGAAAATTTCACTTTTAAAAAAGATGGACTGATTTGTAGAGAATATTTCGTTAGTCCTGTGTCTTTTCCAAATTTTATTTTCACTAATTTCATGGCAGAAATTGCGACGTTTTTTTACACTACAATTGTAAAGAGTTTCGAAATGTTTTGATTTAAAATGTTCAATTTCCTGTTGAAAGCCCATGATTATTTTAACTCCAATTTAAAAAGGAAATTGATTTTTTCTCAAAAATGACTCAATAGCGTTTATTTTTCATTACTGGTTTTGTTTTTTGGTCACAAGTAAAATTACAGGTAGCTACGTATAAAGCGAAGTGAAAAGTTCTTCAGATTTTCAGTTCATCAAGTAACCTTGAGAGAACAAATCGCTTCTACAAAATGTCGAAGCGAGCGATGACCCTTGTGGTCATCCTTGCCGTTTTGGCTCTGGGAATTCAATGGTAAGAATTATAAATTTCTTTGTTTTGACACGAATACGTTTATTGATTTAGGAATTCTTTGTTTTTTTCAAGGATGGAAGCGAAAGAAATTCCAAGAAATTACCTAAGTAAGACTGCATCGTCTACCGTGAAGAAAACCACGGGTAAGTGCCGTGATTATTTCAGGTTAAGCACATACAACCTATTTTTATTAGTTTTCATCTTGGAAAAATTACTTTTGAGGTGACCTGGCAGCTTGCTCAACCTTATGTTTTCTTCTTTGAAGGGGATTTAAAAATGGACTATAAACGTTCGTTAGATTCAAATGAAGAAGAAAACGAAAATGAAGGTATCACGATTAAATATTGCAAATCTTTCTTTTTTACATAAAACATAGCAAGGAATTGAAAATTAACGCAGGTTCTGTTATTTTAAATCAGAAGATGTTGCGAAAGAGGACTCTCCATACGAAGAAAGCGAATATCAAGTGAATGATCCTACTGGTTAGTTGACGATCATGTTTAACGTCATTTTTATTTTATAAAACATGGTCAGAAACGTAAGATCGACGCAAGTTGCATGCTTGAAGGCGATTGGCAACAAGAAGATTCGTGATCATAAACTTTTACCGAGATCTCTTTCTCATTCGATAGAGACGCCGGAAGAGGGGAGAAATCGACCATTGCCGAAGACACGGAGGAGATTGAAGGGACTGAGGAGACGGACAAGACTGAGAAGACTGAAGAGACTGGAGAGACGTAGGCGACTAAGGAGACGGAGGAGACGAAGGAGACGAAGGAGACGAAGAAGACGAAGAAGACGAAGGAGACGAAGAAGACGAAGGAGACGGAGGAGGCGGAGGAGGCGGAGGAGACTGAGGAGACCGAGGAGACTGAAGAGGCGACGGAGATTGAGGAAAACGTGGGGCCTGAGAAGACGGAAGGAACTGGAGAGACGTAGGCGACTGATGAGACTGAGGAGACGGTTGAGACTGATGAGAGGGAGGAGACTGAAGAGACCGAGGAGACCGAGGAGACTGAGAAGACCGAGGAGATTGAGCAAACTGGAGAGACGTAGGCGACTGAGGAGACGGAGGAAATTGAGGAGACGGAGGAGACGGAGGAGACGGAGGAGACGGAGGAGACGGAGGAGACGGAGGAGACAGGGAATACTGAGGAAACGCCGAATTGCAGGCTGGTTAATAGTTTTTGATGGGAGACAAGGGAAACTTTTTAGACGAAACAGAAGGCGGTGGAGAATTGTTTTGAGAATCATGCGAATAGGGAAACGATGGAAAATTGGAGTAAAGAAAGGACGGAATAAATGGCATATACAGAGAATACAGCGATACAAGGGGGAAATAAAGTCAATCGGGATAAAACGTCACGTGCGGAATACGAGAAGATGGAGGATCTTGGTAAAAATAGAAAGAAGGCATAGAAAATTCTTGCTGATAGTGGGGTTAAGGTTAACCAGGACTGGATGGAAATTCCGGCTGAAGAGAAATCGAAAAGGGGCATTCTTCGACAGCAATGATATGATGAACCCAGACGATGAAGAAGACAAAGAACCTAGTGGTAAGTACCTGGCCGTTTTGACTTATATACGAAATCAATTTGTAACTGTTTGCAAAGGTTAAAATGTATTACCATGAATTCACAGCTAAGTCTCTATGTAGGTATAAATACAGCCAGGAATGTGGAACTAACGCATGTTGTATCAATTTAAATAGTAGAAACGGATTTTGAAGACGAACCTTTTCCAACCTCAGAAACAGAAGAAGACGAATTTCCTGGTAAGCGACAGGTTGAATAACCTTGAATTTTACGTAATTATTAGCGTCGCCAGAACTGAAACGCTTACGCATGTTTTGCTACTTTGAATGTTAGAAGATGATACCGAGGGAGGATCAGATTTTTTGGACTCGGATACAGAAGGCGACGAACTTACTGGTAAGTGGCTGTGGCTGGCCAGGTAAAATGAATTTAAACTCCAACAGCTATCTCCATGCAACTATAATTATATTTATTATATGGCTTTTGACTCATAGTAACATTATAGCATAAAAAATCTCTCTTTTTTGCCCGGTGGATTCTGGGTTTGTGATATAAATTTTATTATTTGTGTTAAATTTACCTGCTTACACGGGCTGCCTGTAAACCTGCATTATGTTGTGTTGAACTACCATGTATTTCTTCATTAAAATTATTGATAATAATGCTTATTGTTAGAAGATGATCCTACGGACGAATCAGAAGAATCATTGGACTCAGGTGAAGAAGAAGACGAGCCTACTGGTAAGCGGCCTGTCTTGCTGAGCTTGAACTTCTAACTCAGTTTTTTCGACTGTAAGTAAATTCAGTAATGTCGCACTTACGCATGTTGATGACGTAAGAGGTACAATGGGGTTCTAAAGAGGAATCAGAGAATTATCTGAACTTAGAGACAGACGATTTATTCCAAACCCGAACCCACCTGCCTAACCCGATGCGTAACTTTCTTAACACTTTTTCCCGAACTGGCACGAGGTAAAAGCTAAACATACTTGCAGGTTAGGTGAGTCCGCGCAGGATTTACGCGCCACGGGGGGTTAGAGTTTCCCAAATTCATCCTGCTACACCCGGTGTATCCCTGACTCACCTCCCCGCAAGTATGTTTATCATAAAACTTTCCGAATAAACCTTAACTCTTATCTGTTGATCACTTAAAATGACAGAAGCGGATTCTGAAGAGGAATTAGCAGATTCTCCGAGCTCTGAAACTGCCGAAGATGAACCTCCTGGTAAGTGCATGGCTTATCTCGTTGGATGTATTTGAACTCATTTCCAAATTTCTTTGTAGAACTATAAGTAAAATCAGCAGTGTGAGACTAACGCATATTGATCACTTAAAATGACAGAAGCGGATTCTGAAGAGGAATTAGCAGATTCTCCGAGCTCAGAAACAGCCGAAGATGAACCTTCTGGTAAGTGCATGGCTTATCTCGTTGGATGTATTTGAACTCATTTCCAAATTTCTTTGTAGAACTATAAGTAAAATCAGCAGTGTGAGACTAACGCATATTGATTCTTGAAATCTTACAAGGAAATTCTGAAGAGGAACCAGAAGATTCTCCGAACTCAGAAGCAGCAGAAGATGAACCTCCTGGTAAGTGGCTTGTCTCGTGATCTATTTGAACTCATATCCAAGTTTCTTTGTAGAACTATAAGTAAAATCGGCAATGTGAGACTAACGCATAATGATTCTTGAAATCTTACAAGGGAATTCTGAAGAGGAACCAGGAGATTCTTCGAACTCAGAGGCAGCAGAAGATGAACCTCCTGGTAAGTGGCCTGTTTGGTTGGATCTACTTGAAATTATTTAACATGAAGTAAAGACAGCAATGTGAGACTAACGCATGTTGCTCACTTTGAATGATAGAGGGGGATTCTGAGGAGGAGTCGAATACGTACCAATTGATTCCATGTTCAAAAAGTATAAATGTAAATATAGAAGGAATAACAGGTCTAAAGTAACGCATTTTGTATCGCTTTAATACTAGAAGGCGATTCTAACGAGGAGTGAGAAAATGGACTCCGAAAGAGAAGAATCAATATAAATGACAATAAAATTAATAGTGGTATAGTCTATATTTTGTTCTAAAAAAATCATCTGTTTGATTTTAAAATAAATTATACGTGCTAATCTACAAAATGCTTTGAAATATTATTTAACCAGGAAAAAGTTAATAGTATATAAAACCATCTCAATAAATACTATACAAGAAATACATGCATGCAATTATCTCTTGCCAATTTAATCCAGCTAGCGAAATCTAAGCTTATATTATGCCATGACTTAAATGAGTCGATAACTGATTTAATGCTGTTTTTCGGAATCAAATGTATAGTCAACATCTAGCCATAAAACTGAAGTTTTACATCACCCGTTTTTGAGCTGCTTCAATCTGGAAATTTATTAGTCTATGCCCCAGTTACAATTTATGGACTCTTTAAGCTTAGTAATTGTTAAAAATTCAACCTTCAAAACGTCAAAACAGTACAAAATCTTCAGGTCTGAACGTCAAATCTTATTCTTTCGATATGCTGCGAATATTTGCAGTCGACTTTAAAAGCATACATCTAAAAATCACATTCTGCATGCATAGCTATATCTGCAAATTACATTCTGGGGAAATCACGAAATCCGTTCATCTCATGCACGAGTTCCTTTCGAAATTCGAATTTTATTAATTTCTTTAGCAGAAATTACAGAGTTTTTTCACGAAAGAGTTAGAAGACTTTGAGAGTGTTTTAATGTGAAATTTTTGATTTTCTGCTTAAAGGCTGTGTTTGCATAAAACTAAGCAATTGGGAAAAACCTGACCGGAATAATATATATAAAACCATCACAAGTACTGACTTTCTACGCCTTTCACAGAATTCATGCAATACCATTTCCAAACTAAGAATTCAATTTATTTCGAAGCCAAATAATTAATCAATTTCAACGAAGTAACTATTAAATGTAGCTATCTGTACTTTAGCTATCACAACAATAACTTATTATTCAAGTTTAAAGTTCTGTTAAAATCGTAATCAAACAAGTGCTTTGTTCCTATGTTATTCACACATGTTATATTGTAAATTTGCATGTTATCCCAATTATATTTGCATATATTTCAAGCTTAGTATTTTTCAATTTAAACGTGAAAAACTCTCAAATCTCTTGAATAAATGTTGAAAAAAAACCAAATGTACAGTTGAATACGGTTTTTGAGAGATTTTTGCCTGAATATTATGTAATAAGACGCATGTAATCATCGCTTTTCTTGCTTGCTAGATTGGCACCTGTCAAAACGTACATGTGGATCACAAACAAAATCTTTTTAACAAATTCATTTTTACATATCATAGGAACGTACAATATCGTGCAAAAGAAATCAGTCGCGTATAAGACGAGTATATAAACATACACCCCTTCCTCAATTAAACTTCTAGCTATGACCCTGTTCGGAAGAACTTTTTCCGAGGGAAGTGTTACGTTCGCCGGTGCGACGGAAAAAAAATGAGAACAGTGTTGAGCATTTTTAAACTTTTAGTGAACTATAGTAATTTAAACATTATCCTATTTCTTAATATTCATTTATCTGGTCAGAGTAGGCCCTAAGATAGTTCGATAGCCTGACTGGTAACTTGAACAGCGAATAACGTCCTGGTTGGAAATCCATGTAGAGGTGTGTTGACACTACTGCTACCACTGTTCAGCTTAAATTAACATTGTCAGGTGCATGCATGGCTTTATTTAGATCTAGCCTTCTCGTCTCTCCTCAGCATTTGTGTGTCTCTCGGTATTTCTTTTCATATATATTGTCGTGTTATTCAGGCTATTGCCGTGTGAATCACGCATGCAAAATTTGTGCTCTGGCTTTATACGCTTAGTTAAACTAAAACTACAGGGTGTCTAAAATAATGCAAGACATTAATACAGCTCTAAAGCGCAATAGATAAGCACCTCTGGGAATTGAAAATGGCCCCTAATCCTTCATTTAAAATGCTAAAAGTCATCTTAGCTGAACTGCGGTGCAAACCCGAACAATATTAATATTCATGCATATTTAAGTAGCTGCATTTTTTTTGAGACACCCTGTACAAGTCATTTCCACTACTTAATACAGTGCGTTGTAGCACATGCATGCTATCGTGGTTTGTGGTCGACATCTTGTTACGCGTTTGTGGAATAAGGTGTGGATAGCTATTTGCTTACTCATGCATGTAAGTCTAAGTTTACCGAATATAGTAATAAAGTTCATCGAATATATATAGTTATAGTATTAAAGTATATATAACGCTATTATGATTATAATTACATAATATTACGGCATTATGTAAGAGAAGGAAATACTACTATGCATATATCTGCAAATTGCATTCTTAAGAAATCACGAAATTCATTCATTTCATGCATGAGTTCCTTCCCAAATTAGAATTTTACTAATTCTTTAGCATAAATTACGAAGTGTTTTTTTACAGAAGAGTTTGAAAGGGTTCTAATTTGAATTTCTAAAAAGAAAGATTGCTAGAAAGTGTACATTGCAACGCCAGATTTTCATTATATGATTTTCGATTCTGCCTATAAAGCTTGGTACTCAATGATCGTTCACAGTTAGTCAACGATCAATGGCCATTGACGAAGAAAATAACAAAACATTTTATTTTTTAGTGTTCACCAACAATAGCCATGTTATATTGTAAATTCTCGTGTTATTCCTAATTATATTTGCATATCTCACGCTAACTATTTTTCAATTTGAACGTGAAAAATTTGAAAATCTCGCAAATTTTCCTTCAAGACAACAAAATGCACAGTTGTGTACGGTTTTTGAGAGAATTTTGCCTGAATAATATATAATACGACGCATGTAATCAGCGCTTTCTTGCTTGCTTGATTGGCACCTGTCAAAAGGCGCATGTGCATCACAAACAAAATACTTTTGACATTATGTTACCTCAAAATGATTTCTAGACGCACTTGTCAGTCAATAAGGTAATACTTTTACTTTAACTGTTTACATGAGAGATTCAACGAAGCGTGAGAGGACTTTGAGGTATTGAAATAAGTCTTTATGTCACCAAACAAGCACATGCTATTGTTGCGGTGATTATACGACTGCCAGAATCATGTTATCTGCTCATTTCAATACCTCAAAATTATCTCACGCTTAGTTGAACCTCGGGTAACTGGGCTCATGTAAACAGCTCCTAGGGCTAACAAAATGAAGTACATAATGAAGTACTTTTCGTCTTCATGTGCCTAATGGAAAATTCCCCTAATAAATTGAATTTTAAGATGGGGGTTTTCATCAGTACTATTAGAAATCACGAAATGCGTTCATTTCATGCATGAGTTCCTGCCCAAATTCGAATTTCACGTCGGTTTTTTACAAAACGGTTGGAAGAGTTTGAAAATGTTTTAATTTGAATTTTTTAATTTCCTGTTTAAAATGATATTTTGTGTCTATTTCGTAACTCCCTATCTGCTAAAAAACCTTGAAATCTTTATTTTAACCAGAGTAATAAAATTTTCCAAATTACTCATCTAATTGATTTACTTTATTAATCCAGGACTTAGAACATGCATATAGGACATTAAACGGTTGCGAGAAGATATGGATATTATCTCACGAGTGAGCGCAATTCTGTTTATTAGGTATGAACAAAAACTAAAGAGAAACTTCATTAGCTCGAACTGCCATATGATGAAATGGAAAATTTTACCTTTAAGAAAGAAGGATTTTTAAAGAGTGTTGCAAATCGTGGTTTTCTTTAGTCTTGAGTTCTTTCCCAAATTTTATATTTACTGATCACTTTTCAGAAATTACGAAGTAGTTTTTACAAAATTTAACAATTGGAAAGAGTTTGGAAATGTTTTAATTTAAAGTTTTTAATTTCCTGTTTAAAGCTTTGATTTTTTTAAACTGCAATTTAAAAGAGGAATTATTTTTTTCTGAAATGACTAAATAGTTTTCATTTTTCATTACAGGCTTTGTTTTTTGGTCACAAGTAAGACTACAGGTAGCTACGTATAAAGCAAAGTGAAAACTTCTTCAGGTCTTCAGTTCATGAAGTAATCTTGAGAGAACAAGTACAAAATGTCGAAGCAAGCGATGACCCTTGTGGTCATCTTTGCCGTTTTTGCTCTGGGAATTCAATGGTAAGAACTATAAATTTCTTTGTTCTGGCACGAAAATCGTTTATTGATTTAAGTATTCTTTACATTTCAAGGATGGAAGCGAAAGAAATCCCAAAATATGACCTACGTCAGACTGCCTCGTCTACCGTGAACAAACCGACGGGTAAGTTGCGTGATTATTTTAGGTTAAGCACATACAATCTATTTTTATTAGCTTTCTTTTTTGAAAAATTGGGATAAAAATCTCTTTTGAAGTGATCTGGTAGCTTATTCGACCTTATTCTTTCCTTTTTGAAGGGGGTTTAAAAATGGACTATAAACGTTCGTTAGATTCAGATGAAGAAGAAAACGAAAATGAAGGTATCACCATAAAATATATTTCAGATTTTTCTTTTTTACATAAAACATAGCAAGGAATAGTAGATTAACGCAACTTCTGTCATCTTAAATCAGAAGATGTTGCGAAAGAGGACGCTCCAGACGAGGAAAGCGAATATCAAGTGAATGATCCTACTGGTTAGTTGACGATCATATTTAAGGCCATTTTGGTTTTTATAAAGCATGGTCAGAAGCTACCAAGTTCCACACTTGATTTAAGAATAGGGAGTTTACAATTTATGACGCGCCAGCTCGACGACGCGCTTGCAAAACAAACAAACTCTACGCGCGAAACAATAGGTATGCATAACTTGTGGTCCTACAATAGCGTTGTCATTTTTACGACGCCTTTAAATGCGGTATTTTCACCACTTCTGGATGATATGAAAGCAGCGGCAACGTGATAGCTTTTGATAGCGTATATGAAACTGCAATATCACCTAGACATCGGAGGATATCAGCACAATTGAAACGTTTGTATGATTATTTCTATGTCCTGAATATTTCTAACTCACCGTAGCTAATCTCTAGCTAAAAATTGACTGGGGACGTCGAGCACGTCGTAGATCGTAAGCTTCCCATCAGCTGCGGATCTAGGGTTAGGCAGAATAAAATTAAAAGGCTTAATTTTAATTCAAAATGCCTTAATAACAACGCAACTGGTCATGGGCTTCTATAGAATACTTTGAAATAAAGATCTACCAATGCGTTTACGATTTTCGATTTTAAGCTGTAGTAATTTATTCTGCCTCCACCACTTCTTCCTATTATATCACCAGGGACGCCGGAACGGCCCGAGAGCAAGGGTGGGAGCGAGATTTTGATAAATAGGCACTCCTGTAGCAGCGCATAATAAAGAATGTTTGCAAGGCATTGCCTGTTGAACCTCGTATCACTGTGTTTTGACGATTGTGTTATTCTTTAAAATTGGCCGCTGAAGAAGACGAACCTACTGGTAATTTGCCATGTCACACAGTGTAATTTTTCTTGCAACTTGCAATGCAAATCTTCTTTTAAGAGATGTAAATGAGTCTTCAAAATGTAAGTGTGAGAAACGTCATGGAGTGTAATAAAGACAAAAGTTTGGTAGTTTCCAAATTTACATCTCTCAAAAGACGAATTGCATTGCAAGTTTCAAGAGAAATTGCACCGTGTAAAATAGCCTTAAGTGGCCGGCTATGTTTATTACTCTCAACGCATGTAGAGATGTGTCGATATGTAATTTTAAAGCAATGAATATGCCACTAAGCGATGTTGTATCAATTTAATGTCAGAAGAAACAGAAGATCCTTTGAACTCGGTAACAGAAGAAGAAGAGGAAGAAGAAGAACCTACTGGTAAGTGGTCGGAAATGTTAGGTCACCATGCACTAACTCTCGCCAATCTTTCATAACAATAATACAATAGGACAAGTTAGACTATACGGCATGTTTTTTCGCTTTCGCCGGGAACTCTAAAGAAAATGTAGTTGACTGCACTTTAGTTATCTCTCGCACGATTAAAATGCTTTAACTCTTGAAGAAACAAGATTTACGTCGCAAAATAAGTAATGATTCACTTCAGGCAACTCCCGTGAAATTATATATTATGCTATGCGGCCATTTGCATATGATCGATATCCGTTTTTTACTCACCGTGTATATCAGGCGTGAGGCTGCTTTTGACTTTATTGACTTTATTAAAAACGGTACTATTTCACCAAAATAATTATTTACAAGAATATTAATTAAAAGAAGAGAAAGAAAAAGGGTGATCTTCCAATAGGCCGAGTGCATACACTATATACATATATTATATAAATTTTGGCAATTGTGAACATTAACATATTTGTTTCATTTTAGTTTTAAAGCTTGAGATATTGCTAGTTATTTTATTTCAGTGGAGAGGTTATTCCAAGCCTCAGCTCCCCTATAGGCGAAAGCCTTTTTCATGCTGTTTGTCACTGTCGCGTTTTTTGTACGTACGTATACAAATGGGGCAGCAAATGCATACTGTAATATGCGGTAAACTAAGTTGTTTCGATTTATTGGCCTACCTTTCTAAAAAATGTGATATATACAAGGCTTTAGACTTTTTCGTTCGTGTTCGTGCGTATGAAAAACGTGACAGTAGAAAACAGCCCTTATTCGTATTCACGCGTTCCTTTTACAGGGAAACTGAAGAAGATCCGGAATTTCCTCTGGCAAAGACGCAGACGGCCGAGTAAACATGGTAAAAGGAGAAAACTGAGAAAACGTAAAAAGGGGAAGAGAAGAAAGCAAAACCGGAAAGGGAAAGCGATGGCGAAAAAAAAGCGAAAATTGAGAAAAAAGCGAAACCGCAAACGAAAGGCAATCGGGAAAAAAAAGCGAAAATTGAGAAAAAAGGGAAACCGGAAACGAAAGGCAATCGGGAAAAAAAAGCGAAAATTGAGAAAAAAGCGAAACCGGAAACGAAAGGCAATCGGGAAAAAAAAGCGAAAAGGAAGAAAAAAGCGAAACCGGAAACGAAAGGCAATCGGGAAAAAAAAGCGAAAATTGAGAAAAAAGCGAAACCGGAAACGAAAGGCAATCGGGAAAAAAAAGCGAAAAGGAAGAAAAAAGCGAAACCGGAAACGAAAGGCAATCGGGAAAAAAAAGCGAAAATTGAGAAAAAAGCGAAACCGGAAACGAAAGGCAATCGGGAAAAAAAAGCAAAAATGGAGAAAGAAACGAAACCGGAAACGAAAGGCAATCGGGAAAAAAAAGCGAAAATGGAGAAAAAAGGGAAACCGGAAACGAAGGCCATTACTCGACAGGGAAAATAAGTTGAACTCAGAGACAGAAGAGGACGAAGGACCTAGTGGTAAGTGGCTGCATGGCTGTTTAGACCACTCTCTAGGTAAAGCCCTGCTCAAACGAGAATGATATAGTTGATGAGAGTTGAGAAGCGAGAGTTCGCACGAGAGTTTTCCAAACTCTCGATGCGACGGTCAAACGAGAATGAGAGTTGATGAGAGTTAACAACGAGAGTTGATTACCGCGTGCATTAATTTCGTCATTACTCCACTTTGTTTTGCTATTATTTTGTTTCTGCCCGTTGTTTTCTGAAGATTTTTTTTTTTGCAAAAAAAATGCAAACCGCTGGCGGTTTTGCAACTCCCATCAACTCTCATGACCGATCAAACGCGCCCAAACTCTCATCAACTCTCATCAAAATTTGAACCAGTTCAAAGTCGATGAGAGTTGACGAGAGTGCACGAGAGTGTATGAGAGTTCGCGGTCAAACGCAAGCGAGAGTTGCAACTCTCATCAACTATCATTCTCGTTTGACCAGGGCTTAACAATGTGTAAAGGTTCAAATAAATTAATTTGAAGTTACACCTAAGTCTCTATATGTATAGCCATTAATACAGCCAGGATCAATTTAAATAATAGAAACGGATTTTGAAGGGGAATCAGAAGACTCTCCGAGCTCAGAAACTGAAAAAGACGAATTTCCTGGTAAGAGACTCGTTGAATCACCTTGAACTGATTTGGAGACTTTGATGTAATTTTTGATACAGCCAGATATGAAAGGCTCACGCATGTTTCACCATTTTGAATGTTAGAAGATGATACTGAGGGGGAGTCAGATTCTTTGGAACCGGACGCAGAAGAAGACGAACCTACTGGTAAGTGGCGAGATCTGAATGTTATTTAATGGAGCTACATTAATTTAGACTTTCTGACTGATCCTGTGGGGAAAAATATCTTTCCCGAGAAGATCAGTCGATAAGTGTTTTATTACATAGTAAATCTCAAATGAAACATTGGTTAAAAATACGCCCCAAAACTAACAGACAAACTTTCAACTTGTAAGAAAATAAAGAATTCGGCTGATATTCTTTGGCTCATATGTCGCGTGATGTGACGTAGCGTCACGACGTCGGCTTTTATTAGCCCTGGGGCCGGTTGTATCAAGCCCGTTTAGCTTAAACGGCGGATAAGTCAAAATTAAATAACACTCTTACATCTCTCTTGAATGAGTCAACAAGAATATTATGCACTGAATATGTAGTTATAAACAGTAGCTTTGTATTAAGGTCAAAAACATTTTGTTCGCTTGTTGAATAAAACGATAGACTTGCTTTCTATTTTGAACTTATCCGCCGCTTAAGCTAAACGGGCTTGATACAACCGGCCCCTGGTGGTTAATGCGTTATCCTGCGATTAAACTGGTTCAAACCCGACAGACAAGATTTAGCCGTAGACATTCGGATTTTTTGCCTTTCACGTGTCGTAGTTTTAACCAACTTAGTTTTAATTCCGGAATAGATGAAGTTTGAAACTCGCCGTATAATAATGCATGTTGAATCGCTCCTAATACTAGAAGAATCAGACGATTGTACGAACTTTGAGACAGAAGAAGACGAAACTCCTGGTAAGTGGCATGTCTGGTTGAAACAACGTCACATCATATCTAAGTTCTCATGTAAGTATAAGTGAAGTAAGGAATCTGATACTTACGCATGTTGATGCTTTAAATGATAGAAGAGGATTCTGAAGAGGAATTAGAAGATTCCCCGAGCTCAGAAACAGAAGACGATGATACTCCAGGTGAGTCGCCTGGCGTTTTAAATTGTTTTGAATTCCTGCCGATATTCTATATATGTAACTTTCAAAATAGCCTGAAATTAAAGACTTACGAATGTTTCCCCACTTTTAATGTTATAAGATGATGATACCGAGGAGGAGTCGAATTCTTTGGACTCAGATGCAGAAGAAGATGAACCTACTCGTAAGTTGCAGTCCAGGCAAAACATGGAGATTTCCAAGTAACTCTCGCTGCAAGCATAGGAAAGACTTATCGACTAACACGTGTTGTATAACTTTATTACTAGTAGACGATTCTGATGAAAAATCGGAAGATTCGTCAGAGTTGGATGCAGAAGAAGACGAACCTACTGGTAAGTCGCCGGCCAGGGAAAACATGGAGATCTCCAAGTAACTCTTTTTATAATCATAAGAAAGACTTATCGACTAACACGTGTTGTATAACTTTATTACTAGTAGACGATTCTGATGAAAAATCGGAAGATTCTTCAGACTCGGATGCAGAAGGAGACGAACCCACTGGTAAGTCGCCGGCCAGGGAAAACATGGAGATCTCCAAGTAACCCTTTAATAATCATAAGAAAGACTTATCGACTAACACGTGTTGTATAACTTTATTACTAGTAGACGATTCTGATGAAAAATCGGAAGATTCTTCAGACTCGGATGCAGAAGAAGACGAACCTACTGGTAAGTCGTCGGCCGGGTTGTATTAAATTAAACTATAAATCTATGTATAAATGAAGGAATAACAAACAGACTAATGCATGTTGTATCACTTTAATGTCAGAAGAAGATTCTAACGAGCAATGAGAAGATTCGTTGGACTCCGAGACTGAAGAATAATAAAAATAGCGGTAATAATGGTAGCAGCTATAGTCTTTAGCTAAAAATAATTTGTTTGAGTTTAAAATAAATTATAATTATGTGCCATTATATAAAATGTGTTAAAATATAATATCAGGATGCACTATATAAATTTAAACAATATCGATTTATAAAAGAAACTCGCTGAATGTTCAGCCCTAACATGGGAGTCAAGATAACCATCTTCGTTGGTAAAAAATATTGAATCAAATTCGGGCAGGACTTCGCTTTGGCGAAAAAGTATCATGCTTACGTTAAAAATTATGCCTCGTCAACCTCGATAAACCATAATGCTAAATTGATATCATTTTATGTGAGTAATAAGCAAACGAGAGGCGCCATTTGGCAGATCCAATTTCGCAAGTAGCGCATTGATCACATTGTATTGAATGTCAAAATAAAACCGATTCTATCGACGATGATACAGTTTGCACACACGCTTTGAACATAAATTCCGTTTATCTTTCTTTTTGCTGCAGCATACTAGCTGTATCTATTTAGTTTATTGTGTGAACCGCTACTTACTCGTGCTCAAGGGGAGCGCGAGTCTAGGTTTCGTCGCGTGTACGTCGCGTTGCGCACTTGTATCGAAATCTCGCAATATGGGCACTGCTGCGAGGAGTGACGAAATATAACAAGACGCGTGCCGCACGCGTGACAGTTTTCAGTATAAAGCTTCTGAACGTAAACAATAAAATTCATACTCATTTAGATTTCTTGTAAACCTAAATGTTGTTCGATCGCAAAATTCAGAAGCACATCGTACTTTAAAAAGTATAGAAGTTCAATTGTTCAAAAATGTAAATAAACCGCATGATACATTCGCTTTGTCTTACACTTTGCCTTTGGAATTCGCGAACTACGACGTGTCAAAACGCGCCCATACACGACCACATGTTGTTAAACGGGGAAATAGCAGCAATATTATTAAAATAGGACCAGAATCTGCATGTATTAAATATATTATTACCCCAATTCAATCTAAACTTAATCGAACAGCATCAAAAGAACGGTTTATTTGTTCCTCCTGGAGGAATTGCCGTATCATGCGAGCGAAATCAAATCGCGCATCGGAAAATTAGCCAAAGCTGTGCACCACAACTCTTGGGAGACAAAACTGTGACGTAGATAAATACGGTAACATACACTTCTCAAATACTCGTTTATTTCGCGCCAAAACACGTTTGCGATGACGAAAAATAATAAAAAACGTATTTAAAAAAAAAAAAAAAAAAAAAACTAAACGGAGGCGAATTTTTTGAACTCCGTCGCTGACGCTTGAGTATTCGACAATAGAAGCCACATTCTACAAACAATAAGAAGGATGCAAAATATATAATCATGCACAGAACACATTACTACTGTGCAATGTTTACATATTTCTTGGTGGGTTGTTTACTTTAAATTCCTATATGAAAACAAGATTTATCAAACAATGTTTGGGCAGGCTTAGACGTACAAATGTTTATAAATGATACTTATACTGCCTGAATGTGTCAACTGACGACTGACATTACGAACAATACAAATCAATACTATACTACAACTACTTTTTTGAAGGCTTTCGTCGGAACTAGAATACTGCACTCTGATATATACCATAGGCGGCCCAGAACTGATCTCACTGACCTCGCGCTACGCTCATGTTGTCTGAACAGTCTTATATTATGACATAATATAATATATCATAATATAAGACTGTTCAGACAACATGAGCGTAGCGCGAGGTCAGTGAGATCAGTTCTGGGCCGCCTATGTATATACAAGCATTGATACAGTAATATGTCACCCCGTGCGAATTGCTCGGCCATACCTATAATCGGTCGGCATTCGTGAATTGTGATAATAATTATGTAAATGTACTAGAAATACATGCATGCAGCAACCCCTCGCTATTTCAAACCAAGTACACAATTTCCTGAGTTAACCCGATCTAAACTTATATTATGAAATGACACAAAACTCAAATCAGTCTTAAAGTTTCCATCATTCAATACAAAAATAATTACAAAGCTAGTGTAAACATTGCCCGTTCAATTTTGCTGCATTATACCATGCCAGCAATTAAGTAACGGTTTAAAATCGAAGTTTCAAACGATTAAAACAGTACAAAATCTTCAAAGACAAAGAAAAAACTTCAAATGTTATTTTATTCTGTAATTGCAGTCAACGCCGGCGGCTAAAAGTTTCAGTATACTTTATAAATATAGTGTGTATTTTTGATACCAAAATTCAAATTACACTTTTAAAAACAAGTTTTGAAGTTAAAGCAAAGGTGTAATAGCCCTTCACAGGTTTATGCGTTTGCAGAAAAACTGAAAATTTAACAAATGAACGGCATACAAAGCTGAAAAGTATACAAATACGGCTCATTCTTACCGCGAAACAAGTACGAGATAAACAAAATAAACACGTACCCTTTGTCTTTGAAAACATTTATAAGCTTGCAGATTATGAATTATTCCTCTTACACGGCTTTGTTTTGACTGTATCCACGTTCATCTTTGCTATCTGTCATGCTTCATATATCTTGTTTCTTCTCGTTTTACTTTCTTTGCACAAAGTTTATGAAACGCTTTTACAAAAATGTTTACGAAATGACAGTTAAATTGCTAACGTTCTCATTGAATTACAAACTTTCTGTCTTAGCCAATCAGAACGTTCGTTGATTACCAGTCTACACTCGTTCGCATTTCACGCATGCGCACAAGTACCATGACCATTGAACGTCCACGGTCCACGACATAGAATTTGAGCAACTTTGGATTCCGCTATGTTCTGTCAGAATACCCGGGTGTAATAAATCTCCCAGCGGAATTAGTACCCTCGCACGGTGCTCCGCACCGGCTCGGGGATTATAATATACTTTTCGAGTATTTAACGTTTAAAATACTTGCGTGCATGATAATTTTGTCGTGTCAGTTCTGAAAAAGTTTTATTTTTTCACGATTTTCTTGAAAGTTTTATATTGTAAATACTAATTTGATTTTCGTTCAATAGTCAAATTTCATTTGTAAATTTTTGCCATAATTGAAATTCGAAAGATTTCGGAATATCGAGGATTTTATTTTGCATCTGTTCAATGAATTTTGTTGTACATTTACTTGTAGTAACTTATTATATTTAAGAAATTAGAAATGTTTAAACGCATTTTTATTGTGTTGTGTCTCGTGACAATCGCTGGTATGATTAAAGCTCGCTTGAACTCGTGGAATGGATGATCTCGCGTTTAGTGACGATATTCCGTAACCGAGGATACAAAATCTTAAAATATAAGATAACAGAATTTCTCGAAACCACCACAGTGAAACAGCGTACCATTGAAAAGAAAATAATCGGCTTATCGTAGTACTTTAAAAAAATATATAGAAAGACCCTGTTTAAGGACCTGTGCTCGGCCTTTGTTTTGCTTGCCTGAAAAGTAATAAAATTGGGTCCGGGTACCAATTTTAGCTGTATCGTGCCAATAAATTGAGTGTAGTTTAAACGGGGCCTGATATACTTATATGTACTTTCTAACTTAGGTACATCTTTAGTAGGATATCGAAAACAGTGCAACAGTATAAGTATACTATTTCGTATAGTACTGTAATTTTATTCACTACATATATGTTTTGTAACTTTATTTTAATAGCTCTTGATGAAAAACCTCTTTGAGGAGACTTCAATAACTTATTTAAATGGTGATTGTTTAGTGATTTTTCTTTCACAGTTTAATTTTGGAAAATTGTTATACTTTTATGCCTGGGTAAATTTTGAATCATTAATTTGAAAATCCTTAAAAACGGTTGCTAATGTCTTAAATTTGAAAATTTCTAATTCCTGTTAAAATTCATGATATCATATCCCAACTTCCTAACCTGGATTTTTTCAACTTATCTACACGATTGTGTTCTATTCTTTATACGTCCCGAATTCCTCAACATTTTTGAACAACTGCAAACCGAACGAATCTCTCTAAATATTTCTACAACAGTAAATAGGAATTCACTTGAAAAGAGCATATGGCCTACATTTGCTTCAATTATTAATAACAGATATGTGATTTTGTATGTTAGTTTCCATCAGCGATAGAAGATTACAAGCACCCGTCAAAACTTTCGTGTGGCCGGCAAACAAAAATAAATTGTTATCATTTTGACAAACAAGCAAACTCCTGGTATCTTATCAATTAAGTTGGGAAAGACACACCAAGTAATTTGGGACATAATGATGCTGTTTTGTTATTTCTAACTCTCCTGACGAAGGCCCGCAGGTCGAAACGTCGAGAAGTGTTTTGTCTATTTAGGTAGTTGGTATACCACATTTGATGCTAAGTTCTTTAAATAAATATATATAGAAAGAATTTTTCATGATTTTAAGAAATAAACAAATTGTAAACAAGCGAAAACAAAATACTGGTCATATCGTAGGAACTAAAACCCCGTTTAAGGACCGGTGCTCGGCCTTTGTTTTGGTAGCCTGAAAAGTAATAAAATTGGGTCCGGGAACCAATTTTAGCCGTATCGTTCCAATAAATTGAGTGTAGTGTAAACGGGGCGTGATATATTTATATTTACTTTCTAACTTAGGTACATCTTTAGTAGGATATCGAAAACAGTGCAACAGTAAAATAAGTATACTATTTCGTATAATACTGTAATGGACGACTTGCGCTTTAGACTAATTTCTTATCTCGGCGATAAAAAGAATATTTTCTGAAAGAGCTTACTAAGACTAGTAAAACTAATCAATTTTGGCTGCGAATTGTTGGAATTACGGAAAATATAGCCGTGCGAAGTTGTCGAATTTTGTATACTTTTGTATCACGGCCGGAAGTTTGTAACTAAATTAGTTACACATTTCCGCACGTAATACAAAAGCATACAAAATTTGCCAACTTCGCATGGCTATATTTTCCGTATTTCCCAAAATTTCGCAGCCAAACTTTGCATTTGCACTATTTTAAGTAAGGTCTTTCTGGCTGTCGGGATTTATTTCCTTCTAATTACTTCGATCAAAAGTTAGTCTAAAGCGCAAGTCGTCCATTTTATTCAATATAAGTTTTGTAACTTTATTTTAATAGCTCTTGATGAAAAACCTGTTTGAGGAGAGTTCAATAATTTATTCAAATGGTGATTGCTTAGTGATTTTTCTTTCACAGTAAATTTCACTGCGGAAAATTGTTATACTTTCATGCCTGGGTAAATTTTGAATCATTAATTTCAAAATCCTTAAAAACGATTGCAAATGTCTTAAATTTGAAAATTTCTAATTCCTGTTAAAATTCATGATATCATATCCCAACTTCCTAACCTGGATTTTTTAAACTTATATACACGATTGTGTTCTATTCTTTATACATCCCGAATTCCTCAATATTTTTGAACAACTGCAAACCGAACGAATCTCTCTAAATATTTCTACAACAGTAAATAGAATTCACTTGAAAAGAGCATATGTCCTACATTTGCTTCAATTATTGATAACAGATATGTGATTTTGTGTGTTAGTTTCCATCAGCGATAGAAGATTACAAGCACCCGTCAAAACTTTCGTGTGGCCGGCAAACAAAAATAAATTGTTATCATTTTGACAAACAAGCAAACTCCTGGTATCCTTATCAATTAAGTTGGGAAAGACACACCAAGTAATTTGGGACATAATGATGCTATTTTGTATTTTCAAAAAAAATCATTTTATCTATTCTAATTCTTCTTCGAAATGTATAGAGAAAATCGTATATTTGCAAATTGCATTCTTAAGAAATCACGAAATGCGTTCTTTTATGCACGAGTTCCTTTCAGTGTTTGCATATAATTGAAAATCTTTGAAAATATTTTGATTTAAGGATTCCAATTTCCTGTTTAAAATTTGCGATTATATATGTATTCGTAACTCTAGGAGAGTTCTAAAACTTGTGATTTTATATGTATTCATAACTCTAGGAGTGTTCTAAAACTAGTGATTTTATATGTATTCGTAACTCTAGGAGAGTTCTAAAACTAGTGATTTTATATGTATTCATAACTCTAGGAGAGTTTTAAAACTAGTGATTTTACATGTATTCATAACTCTAGGAGAGTTTTAAAACTAGTGATTTTATATGTATTCATAACTCTAGGAGAGTTCTAAAACTAGTGATTTTATATGTATTCATAACTCTAGGAGAGTTAATTCGTAACTCTAGGAGAGTTACGAATACATATAAAATCACAAATTTTAGACTTTAATCGTTTTAATCCAGGACGAGGTTTTTCAAGAATATTTGCTACTTGTTTACTTATTTTTCTTATGCACCTTGATATTCACCGACATTAACCTTTGAGGTTTAAATAGTTTTCGTAAAAGTTCAATGTAACCAACCCCAAACTTTGTGGTGAACGAACTGATTATTTCTCAGAACGTACCCACACGAACATTGAAGTGAAAACATCATCAAGTAAGGTGTTGAAGTTTTAACCCTTCACTAACGAATTTGAACGCTTCACTTGCTAAATATATTGAAATCTGTCCGTACTTATACATATGCATCGCGAACAGAAACATTTCATCCAATATTTCAATTTTTTTAACGCTCTTGTCAACTGTGTAAGACTCTGCTTTCAAGAATAACAATTTAAGATATTGTATCATTTGTGCACCACAAATTCCTGTGCCTGAATATTTACAAAAATTGGTTTTGATTTCTTACCCCAGTAAAGTTCAATTAAGAAGGAATTAATTTTTTCAACATTGTGTTCATTTTTCATTTCTAGACGCTCTTGTCAACTGGGTGTAAAACTCTAACTTCAATACTAACAATTTAAGATATTGTACCATTTGTCTTCCCGTGCCTGATCTAATATTTACGAATATTGGTTCCAGTTTCTTATCCTAGTAAAGTCCAATTAAGAAGGAATTAATTTTTTCAACATTGTGTTCATTTTTCATTACAGGTTTTGCTTTTTGGTCACAAGTAAAATTACAGGTAGCCACGTATAAAGCAAAGTGAAAAGTTCTTTAGAACTTCAGTTCATCAAGGAACCTTGAAGGAACAAATCGCTTCTACAAAATGTCGAAGCGAGCTATGACCCTTGTGGTCATCTTCGCCGTTTTGGCGTTGGGAATTCAATGGTAAGAACTAAATTAATTTGTTTTGGTACGAATACGTTTATTGATTTAGCCATTCTTCATTTTTCAAGGATGGAAGCGAAAGAACAGCGAAGAAATTACCTAAAAAAGATGGCTTCGTTCACCCTGAACAAACCTACGGGTAAGTCCGCGGTTATTTGAGGTTAAACTGCCTATTTTTACTTGACTTTTAATCTCTAAAAATCTCGAGGAAAATTGCTCTAGGAAAATTGCCAAATTTTTCAAACTCTATGCAATAAAACAAATCCCTTTGAAAGTGGACTGGCAGCCTATTCAACCTAACTTATCTAACTTATCTTAAATTTTTTAAGGAAATTTTAAAAAGGATTTTAAACGTTCGTTAGACTCAGATGCAGAGGAGAACGAAAATAATGGTATCAACATAAAATTTTGCGAATCTGTCTTTTTTTACATTAAACGTAACAAGGTATATTAGATTAACACAAGTTCTTTCACGTTAAATTAGAAGATGTTTCGAAAGAGGACTCTTCAGACGGGGAAAGCGAACATAAAGAGAACGATCCTACTGGTAAGTGGACGACGGTCATGTTTAAGGTATTCTTATTCTTATAAAACAAACCCAGAGACAAACGAACTTGTTACTTGTGTTGCTTTAAATATTAGAAGACGACTCAAAGAAAGACGATTCCTCAAACTCGTTGGCACAGGATGATAAAGACGCTGGTGGTAAGTGTCCGGCTAGGTTAAACCAACTTGAACACTTACAGAGATCTAATGAATACCTCGTGAAAATTGTATCCACTTTAAATATTAGAGGGCGATTCAAAAAATGAATCTGAAAAGGAAGAGGATGAAGCTGCTGGTAAGTGACCAGCCCGTTGCATCAACTTAAACTCAAACTTAAGTCTCAATGCAACTGTAAATGTAACGAAGTATTAGGCTAACGCAAGTGATGTCACTTTAAATGATAGAAGGAGATTCTGAAGAGGAATCAGAAGATTCCCCGAACCCGGAAACAGAAGAGGAAACTACTCGTAAGTGGCCAGCCTGTTAAATCAACTTCAACTCAAACTTAAGTCTCAATGCAACTCTAAATATAGCGAAGAATTTAGGCTAACGTAAGTATATCTAAGATTATTAGACTAACGCAAGTGGTATAACCTCAAATTATAGAAGACGATTCAGAAGAGGAATCAGAAGATTCTCCGAACTCAGAAACCGAAGAAGACGAAGAAGACGAAGAACCTACTGGTAAGTGACCAGCCTTGTTGAATTAACTAGAACAAATTCTAAAAGTTACAAAGTAAGTATAAATATATCTAAGAATGTTAGACAAGCGATATAAATTTAAATTATAGAAGACGACTCAGAAGAGGATTCAGAAGATTCTCCGAGCTCAGAAACCGAAGAAGACGAAGAACCTACTGGTAGGTGACCAGCCTGGTTGAATTAACTAGAACTCAAACTTAAGTCACAAAGTAACTATAAATATATCTAAGAATGTTCGTCTAACGCAAGTGGTATAAATTCAAATTATAGAAGACGACTCAGAAGAGGAATCAGAAGATTCTTCGAACTCAGAAACCGAAGAAGACGAAGAACCTACTGGTAAGTGACCAGTCTGGTTGAATTAACTTGAACTAATAATACATAAGTTTTAAAGTAAATATAAATATATCTAAGAATATTAGACTAACGCAAGTGGTATAACTTCAAATCATAGAAGACGATTCAGAACAGGAATCAGAAGATTCTCCGGGCTCAGAAACCGAAGAAGCGGAAGAACCTACTGGTAAGTGACCAGCCTGGATAATAAACTAGAAAAAATTCTAAAAGTTACAAAGTAACTATAAATATATCTAAGAATTTTAGACAAGCGGTATAAATTCAAATTATAGAAGACGACACAGAAGAGGATTCAGAAGATTCTCCGAGCTCAGAAACCGAAGAAGACGAAGAACCTACTGGTAAGTGACCAGCCTGGTTGAATTAACTTGAACAAATTCTAAATGTAACAAGGTAACTATAAATATATCTAAGAATATTGGCCTAACGCAAGTGGTGTAAATTCAAATTATAGAAGACGATTCAGAAGAAGAATCAGAAGATTCTCCTAGCTCAGAAACCGAAGAAGACGAAGAACCTACTGGTAAGTGGCCAGCCTGGATAATTAACTAGAACAAATTCTAAAAGCTACAAAGTAACTGTAAATATATCTAAGAATTTTAGACAAGCGTTATAAATTTAATTTTAGAAGACGATTCAGAAGAGGATTCGGAAGATTCTCCGAGCTCCGAAATCGAAGAAGACGAAGAACCTACTGGTAAGTGACCACCCTGGTTTAATTAACTTGAACAAATTCTAAATGTTACAAAGTAACTATAAATATATCTAAGAATGTTAGACAAGCGGTATAAATTTAAATTATAGAAGACGACTCAGAAGAGGAATCAGAAGATTCTCCGGAGTCAGAAACCGAAGAAGACGAACAACCTACTGGTAAGCGACCAGCCTGGTTGAATTAATTTGAACAAATTCTAAAAGCTACAAAATAACTATAAATATATATAAGAATGTTAGACAAGCGGTGTAAATTTAATTGTAGAAGACGATTCAGAAGAGGAATCAGAAGATTCTCCGAGCTCAGAAACCGAAGAAGACGAAGAACCTACTGGTAAGTGCATGACCAGCCTGGTTGAAGTAAATAGAACTAAAACTAAAAGTTACAAACTAACTATAAATAATTCTAAGAATGTTAGGCTAACGCAAGTGGTATAACTTCGAATTATAGAAGATAATGCTAGGCAACAAGAAACCACGTGATTAAGTTTGACCAATCGCGTGAGTAGATTTAGAAAAATGCGCGAAGATTGTATGTTAAGTAACTATAAATATATAGTCCGGAATGTGACACTAATTCTTGTTGTATCACTTTAAATTTTAGATGGGAATTCTAAAGAGGAATCAGAAGATTCTCCGAGCTCAGAAAGCGACAAAGACGAATCTACCGGTAAGTGTCCTAGCTTATTAAATCAATTTCCATCCGAGGTGATCTAAAAAAAATTACAAATGTGATTGGAAAGCATTTTTCATTTGACTCCGGAATCTGAAGAAGAAGACGAAACTATTGGTACGTAGCGGTCCAACTTGAAACGACTCACAATTTTAGACAAACTGGAAGCAATCACTGCTTCCCAAACAGCCGAAGCCAAGTCGAAGGCAGGGTCGTTAAAAAAGGTGTGATCGAAGAGAACCAACCTCCCATAGGGAAGACCCTGTAGATTAATAATTATTCACTTTGTTTAACTCATGTAACGCAATTAATCTGCAGTCTCCAGCCATTGTTTATGATCATTAATAGAAATAGATCATTTCTTCCGATAGACTAGCGATGATCACCGTCAATAGCTTTCACCGATATCGCCTTTTTGAAAATCAGGAATATTTAGACATGAAAGACTACAGTTCCTAATACGCTTTTGCATCAATCAAGTTTATATTCATGCCCTCTCTCTCTCTCTCTCTCTTTCGCTTTACAGTGAAACCCGAGAAGGTCCGGACAAAAAAGCTGTTTGGCTTGGTAAGAAAAGTGTTACACCATTTTAAGAGAAAGTTGTTTCGGCGCCGAAGAAAAAGACATCATCACCGAAGAAAAAGGCATCATCACCGAAGAAAGCATCTCCACAGACTCAGGAAACTCCAAAGACTCAGGAAACTCCAACGACTCAGGAAACTCCAAAGACTCAGGAAACTCCAACGACTCAGGAAACTCCAAAGACTCAGGAAACTCCAAAGACTCAGGAAACTCCAAAGACTCAGGAAACTCCAAAGACTCAGGAAACTCCAACGACTCAGGAAACTCCAAAGACTCAGGGAACTCCACAGGCTCAGGAAACTCCAAAGACTCAGGAAACTCCACAGACTCAGGAAACTCCAACGAGTCAGAAAACTCCAAAGACTCAGGAAACTCCAAATACTCAGGAAACTTCCAAGACTCGGCAAACTCCGAATCAGGCGACTGAGGAAACTCATAGCGATCTCATGGCACAGGAGGCGCAAGTTTCTCAAGCAGTTGTGGAGACTCAAACGACTCAGCGCACCCAGTCGGCACAAGGCGTTCAAGGGACTCTGGATCACGTTAAACAGGCGCCGTAGGATTTCCAATCTGATCTTGGCACGCAGGTTGGCACATCGACGCAGGCTGCGTAAGAAATTAAGGCGGCTCAAGAAACGTGGACAGCTGACTACACTCAAGCGGATCAACATACATAGGCAGGTCAGGAGAATCTTCTGGTTAGTGAGACGCACGCGGCGCCATATACGCATGCTGTTCTGGAAACTCAGGCTGGTCAAAAGACTCAGAAATGGCAGGAAAGTCAACATCCAGAGACTCATCCACCTTTGGAGACTCCGACGACTCAGGCGACTCGGGCGGCTCAGGAGACCCAGGCGACTCGGAATGGGCAAGAAAGTCAACCTCAAGAGACTCAGGCCCCTTAGGAGACTCCAACGACTCAGGCAACTCAGGCGACTCAGGCGACTCAGGAGACTCAGAAAGGGCAAGAAAGTCAACATCAGGAGACTCAGGCCCCTTAGGAGACTCGGACGACTCGGACGACTCCGACGACTGAGGCGGCTCCGGCTTCTCCGGCGGCTTAGAATAAGCAGCCGGCTCAGACGACTCAGGCGGCTCAGGAGACTCAGATTGATAAATAGAAGACTCTGGCGAAGAAGACCATTCCGTCGAGGATTCCACACAATTATTCTCACAGAGAACGTTAGACCTCGACGGATTATTGGACGGATACGAGTTCATCGACGATGTCGTACCACGTTCCATGTGGAAAGATGTGGTCAGCGTGTCAGAATTGGTCATCGTAGCGGTGCATTGTGGTTTAGAGGATCACTTCGAAACATACCAAAGAGCAAGAATGGAATCAGAATACTGTTCTTCCGTGTGTTTATCAACCGAAAATGTGTGTTTCGCCGAAGACGCCGTCTTGGAACCAGAGTTATAAAACTGATTATTCTTCCAAGGGGCTTTGGTGATTCGGATTTGTCGAAGTTTAAACCTTCACGTGTTCATCCAAGTAAAATGCCAAAAAATCTCAAGCATACTCCGTCAAATTTGCACAGAGCGTTTAGACACGAGTCCCGAAAAATGGAACCTATGATGTTCAGTGAAATGATGGCAGCCATACGGGTTGACAGAGGAATAGAGTCCGGGATAAACGGAGTATTGAAGAGGGTCGTTCGCAGTAAGTTTATTTTTAACACAATATGTTTTATACGTCTGCATGGTATAGTTCCAGCCCTTCTTCGCGCGGTCTTAGTAGGTAAGTTAGCTGAAATTTACTGAAATAATCATTTCCATTAATTTAAATTCGAAATTTGCTATGTTTTGACTTCGAAGTCGTTGAAAATATCACGGTAGAACAGAACTACTAAGCCTGGCATATAGAGAAGGGAGCCCGGGGTGTTTTGGGGGGGTAACCCTCCTAGACACTCAACTCGAGGCAGGGCTGTATATTCATTTACATTCCTCTTATCTACACTGATTTCTTTCGATAGCGATTTTTGCTTCCAGCGACCGCCGTGTAAGTGAGGGAATAGAGAACTCGTAAAAACTAAAAAACTCGACAAAGCTTACCAACGGCAAAAAACAGCGTATAACCTAATTTAAGTAAATCGTCGTCTTCTTGCAGATCTAAATGGTGTTGCTCTCCGCTGGTCTCTAAATACCCTGTTTTCAAGCAAAGCGTTACAGCACTTGGCAAGAAAATCTAAATGCAAACCGCGCAATGATGTAACTTGTTCATCGGAGAGGGATTATCGGACAATTGATGGCACCTGTAACAACATTATAAATCCTCTCTTTGGTTCCGCCCCCCGTGCCCTAAACCGTTTGGTTCCTGCAAGATATTTTGACTTTGACAATCTCAACGATCCCATCGGGTTCCCAGGTCAAATTTTCGTCCCAAATATCCCTGCGACGTTTAGGGCGACTGAAGGTTTTATCCGTCGACAACGCCGGCCGTCGAGAAGAAGATTAACTAATTCTCACTTACTTATGCAATTTGGGCAGTTCCTGGATCATGACGTTGGCATTTCACTGGAGAGCGAGGATTCTAACAGATGTGAGCACATAAACAGGTACGTTGGTCCCCGAACGTTATCTGTAAAGCCGTTTTGTGATGTGTCCCACAACAAGGTCTATAAAATAGAACCGAAAACGAGGATATTGGTTTGATATTCTTGTTCTTCTTGGCTTTCTATTGTTGTCACGCACACCTTTGTTGCGGTAGTTTCTGTCTTAGTTGCCGTGCTTTCTTGAACAAATCTCACATTTGTTGCTATAATTGTTGTTTTCATTGCGTCTCTTTTGTAACAAATGTCAGAGTAACAGTTCGTTATTGTTTCTGCTTTCTACGTTTTGTTGCGGTTCAATTGCTTTGGTATTTGCCATTTTTTGCACCTCTTGTTGATTTTATTTATTTGTATTGTTCTATTCTATTTTTTTTCAATGTTATTGTCGTTTTTATGTATTGCTGTTGCAGTTATAACTCCTTTTGTTTTTTTATCACTTTTGCTACTTGTTGTTCTTGTTGCCGTTCCCTTTTATAGCTGGCTTATGTTTAGGGACTGGTCTATGAAGCCCGTTTAGCTTAAACGGTGGAAAAGTTCAATCTAGAAAGCAATTCCGTCGTTTTATTCAACAAGCAAACTAAACGTTTTTTACCTTAATACAAACGTTCTGCTTCAGTGCGTAATATTCAAATTGACTCATTCCAGAGAGATGTGAGAGTGTTATTTAATTTTAACGTATCCACCGTTTAAACTAAGCGGGCTTAATACAACCGGCCCCAGTATTGCTATCATACAATTTTGCTTATTGGAGACTCTACACAACAATTTCTCTGTGGCCAGTTATTGGGATAGATAAAAAATGAGGCTAACAATGAAACAAAACCTGAATCCAAGACTTTACCTAAAATTTTACAGGGACAAAACAACACCCGCTGACTTTGCAGTGCCATGTTACACCATTCAAAGATTCGGTCGATTGAGAGCGCTTCCTTTTAGAAGATCAGCAAGTGAATGTCAGATACGAAATGGTCGTTATACCAGACGAGAACAGCTGAATAGTATTACGTCATTTGTTGACGCCTCACAAGTCTATGGTTCTACAGATGAAATCGCAAAACTGTTAAGGGATAAAAAAAGTTAGTACTATCTTCTAATACTCTGGCGAAGCAGGACTTTTTGGCGAACAGCAGCCAGCTGTGACATTATGTTATAAATTTGACTGAACAAATGTGGATTTTTCACATTCATTTTATCGAAATCACAAATATTTCTTTTTTCGCTTTTATTATATTTTAATTTCCAGATATTTCACTGTGAAAGTGTATGTGTGCATGAGTGGTGCTCAAAGTTTGAGAATACGTTTAAAAACCTTTCTTCGATAATTGGCACAACAGTATGCAAATCATCTTAAAATTTAGAATCGCAGGAAATTAAAACTTCAATAAAAATTTTTCTTCTTCAGGTGGCAAAGGATTGTTGGCTATAACGCCTACAAAAAATGGCCCATTGTTACCAATTGATAAATCTGGAGAACTGGAATTTCCTCTCGAGTTATGTAGAAATGAGGCTTTAGGAAATAAATGTTTCCTTTCTGGTGATGTTCGGACGAATGAACAGCCAGGACTAGCCTCCATGCACACTTTGTTCGTTCGTGAACACAACAGAATTGCCCGAGAGTTAAGCAAAATCAATCCCAGCTGGAACGACGAAGTGCTTTACCAAGAGGCGAGAAAAATCGTTGGCGCTGTGTGGCAAAAAATCGCATACGTGGACTTCCTTCCAATAATCATTGGAAACACGCTTCCAGTCTACCCAGGCTATGATCCCAACGTCAATGCTGACCTTACAAACGCATTCTCCACCGCAGCTTTTAGATTCGGACACACTTTAATCAGACCAGCATTTGATGTCCTCGATGCAAATTTCAATCCCATCAGGAGCCCTTTGCCATTACGTGAAATGTTCTTCAACACAAGTTTCATAGGAGCTCGAGGTATAGAACCAATACTTCTTGGTTTACTGGGTAATTCATCAGAAAGATTTGATCGAAAACTTGCTAATGATCTCCTGGATCACCTGTTCCAAAGGCCAGGTAGCTCTGAAGCCGGTCTAAATCTTGCTGCATTGAACGTTCAACGCGGTAGAGATCATGGCTTACCTGGGTACAACGCATATCGACGTTTCTGCGGATTGCGAAATGCAAGAAGTTTCTTCGCTACAAGAAGAGAAATCAGAAATGGATTTAACAGAATTCTCTTGCGAAGGCTTTACAAAAGGCCTTCAAACGCAGATTTGTGGATTGCTGGATTAGCGGAAGCCCCGGCTAACGGTGGAATCGTTGGAGCGACCTTTGGCTGTATCATCCGAGAGCAGTTCAGACGATTAAGAGATGGGGACAGTTTCTTCTACAGAAGACCCGGTGTATTCACTGCCAAGCAGTTGTTCGAGATTGAAAAAGCAACGATGTCGAGAATCTATTGCGATAATTTGAATAAAATCGTTTCTGTTCAAAGAAATGCATTCTTGGCTGGTGGAGGAAACGTTCGTCGTGTTGTATGTAACAGCATTCCTGGAATGGATTTCGAAGCTTGGAAAGGTATGCAAGCACTATTATGAAGCCGGGTTTCCATAGACACCTCCCCCCCCCCCACATGCGAAATTAGAATTGAGTGATACTGATGTGTTTATTAGTTTTGTTGTACACACTACGTAAAGATCTCTTTAAAATCTGGTAGCAAGTCCGAAAACAAGCAAGTATAGAACAACTTGTAAACAAGTCGTACGTAACAGGCATTTTGAATCGTTAGAATTAATTTTTACATGGCTCTTGCGACAAGTCTAGCTCATAAATGTGGCAATGTTATTACAATCTTCTCTTGTTAAGATTTTAGCAATATTAACATGCCATAGCTTTATGATGTGTGTCAGAACAATATTGTAACTTGTAACAAGTCTGAGGATTGATGTCATCCAACTAACCTGTCATCAAAGCATTGCTCCTCGAAGTATAGTAGCTTATTGTAGAAATGATATTTCTATCTACATTTTTTTATATTTTCGCATTATTACAGTAAACATCATTCCTAAACCTCCACCTGGCTTTGGCAATCGTCTGGGCATTTATATCAGAAGTGAAGGTGCCAGAGACCAAGGAAGACACGGGCATGGTCGTGCAATTATATCTGTGAACAACAAAGATCATTCAAAACACAAACGTGGTTATAATATTGTTGTTGTCCACGCAAGAAAAGGTATATTATTAACATTGTTAACTCGAATTGCGCAATGCGCAAGCGAGTTCTTAAAATGGGAAGCGTTCTTAATATTTTTATGGACGAGAATTTCGCGACCCGCAAGGTGCGATAAGGTGGGCTGACCTGCAAGCCACGAGCTACGCAGGCGTGGTTGCTAGGCAAGGTTGCACTGCTGAGTGCATTCGTTCATGACGTTCATCGTTTTCTTGTGGACAAAAGACGATAAAAATTCAAGATATTTCGAAATGTGGCTTCCAAGTGCCATATTTATCTTAACGCTCACCTTACATACAACTGCACACGCCGAGCACAGTAGCCTACACTAAAAGATGCCGAGCGTTTTCGAAACGGGGTGTTCTGTTGCTCTCATGCTCTTCACCTTCATGTTGAACCAAAGTTGCTTCATATCGCTATGAATTCCCTGATCAAACTGAATACAATCTCAAATCAATCTCACGAGTTCTCACTAGTTCTCACGAGTTTTCACGCCCGTTCCGTTGCATAGCTGAACAACTATGGCAAGCCCAAACACACGCCTGAGTAAGCGTCTTTTTTGTCATAGCCCTAGCTCGACTCAAGCAATGCGAGTTTAATGCCTAGCGGGCATCTTGTTATTTTTATTTTTATTGCTGTTGTCATGAACATCACTATCGATTTACTAATAATCGTTGCTTGCGAAGACAATCTAAGTTCAAATACTGTATTCTGATTGGCTATATGTCTCACTGATCTATATATCGCATAACATTTTAATTTTTTCAAATCAATACGACTCCAAAATATACACGATTCTGATTTGCTAAATCTTCTGCCAACGATAGTTGAAGTTGACTGCCTTACACAAGCAGCTCTGGGGGCGGTTGTATGATAGTGGTTATTTCAATCGCTTCAAAATTGCCCGTTATTTGCTACAACTTTGATAAAATCTTAGTATTCCTAAATCGAAGGTCCTTTTTAATTTAATTGTTGCTTCCAAGCTGAAATGTTGTAGCTTTTCGAGCATTTTTAGAACGGTTGAAAAAATCGCTATCCGGCGGATAGCGCTATCCGGCTTTGATACAATCGGCCCCTGGAGGTATTAAAGATACCATGATTCTTTAGGCAACCATATTTAAAGTAAAATGTGCACAATTGATGTTTCCTTTACTTAGGAACGGTTGAATCGTCCGTGGCGTTTGATACCTTCGCTTCCAAGGAGGCGTGTCGTCGCATGGTGCACTTCCTTAGAAAGATACAGTCAGAGTAAGAATTTAAAAATATTTTTATCTCACCAATTGATAGATGTTTATTAGTTAAGGAGAAATAAAAGGCGCGTGTCACGTTAAACCGTTATCAAACTTTGTGCTTTACCTGCACTTTGTAACGTAAGTGTTGGAGTACACTCAGCAATGCGACTCTCATCAGAGAAGTAAGGAAGTAATGCTTAAACAGCCGCATACACTAACGGTTATATATCTTCAAAGTATTTTCGAACTTTCAACGCATTTCAAACAATAGACCATTGGATATTTATCAAGAAGAAGTCCCATTTTTCGTAGGAAAGAAACAACGTATGCCCCAGGCCCCCAAATGTCCAGGGTGAACTCTTCCAACTGATAAACGCATCTATTTCACTTTTTAGGAGGTTCGTGCTTGTTGCAGTTCAAAGCGAAGGGTCCAGGCGAATGTCGTGTAACGCCTACCGTGCTTTAGAGAGGCTTGGGGCGAGGATACCATTCATCCGCCGCCTTCATCACTCATTTGCACTTCTTGGCTGGTCTGGGCACGGAACTCACGATGCTGTTACTCAGGTAAACAATTAAATTTATACGAGTATATGTGTGGTGGCGTAGGAACCGGGGGGGGACGTGAGCCAAAATGTCCCCCCCCCGAAAGGGACAAAAGGTGCCATTTTCGTGATGAAAAATTTATTTTATGAAACGCAATATAGCTGTGAATAGTATTTTCAAGTCCACCTACACTTGCCCAAATCGTTTTGTAGAGAATTAATATAAACCACACTAGTGGTGTCCTTGCAACTTTGGCAATCAAACCGTCCCTATACATATTTTCAGGAGACTGGTGACCTCCCCCCACTCTCTGGATTCTTCCTACGCCCCTGTGTAGGTCTGGGTGTACCCAACGTAAAAGAATGTGGTAAAAAAGCGCTCTACAACGTAGTTTTTCACTTCGAAAATTATTTTAGTTCAAATTTTTTCCCATTTTTGTGCCTTTGAGTACAGTATTTTCGTTAAAATTACTTTATCGTCTGTCAGTTTGACAAAAACAACTGGCAGTTATTTTGAAAGGCCCGTTGAGGCGATTATCACGCCATAATCCGACGTCGCTCGACCAATCAGGAGCCAAATTTTCAATAATCACCCTGGTGATTATACCAGCTGAACATAATCTTTGAAAGTTGATTCCAGGCGGTTCAAACAACAACACATGGTTTATTTCGGATTTCTTTTGAATGTTTAGGCTCAACGCCGAGCCGGTGAGGGACCAAGTATTATTGCAAAGGTTGTGCCTTTTACCCAGCTAGCTTGATTGCAAAAGGTGAGTAATCTCTGAAAACAAACAAGAAATAATTGGTAAATATTTCTCTCGAATAAAAGAACATCTTTGATCAGTAAAATATGTTATTATATGATTTGGTGTTTGGCATATATTGATGCATATGATTAGGAGATGTGAAATATATTATTCACAAGCCCTTGAACTATTCAGGGACGGAGGTTCACGACAGAGTGTTTTCCTTTGCTGTTTTGTTCTTTTGTATTTATTTCTATGCATAATTGCACCAAACATTCGGTTTGTAAGTAAATTGGCCCGAAATCTTTAAACTGAAATCGCTTAGAAAGCAACAACAAAGATTACTTGCCTCAGACCTAATTTTAATGACCATATACAAAATCGAAGCGTAAAATGACTTTGAGGTATTGATATGAGTAAATAACATGATTCTGGTAGTCGTGTTATCATCCTAACAATAGCATGTGATTGTTTTGTTTCAAAAAGACTTTTTTCAATACCTCAAAGTCCATTTTACGCTTCGTTAAATCTCGGCAACCGGGTTCATGTGAATAACCCCTTAAGCCCTAATTCCACTAGCGACATTCTTCACGACATTTTTTTCGCTCGATTTTCTTTTCAATTGTGAGATGATGTTGCGGATTACGTAGGTCTATCCAAAAAGGGTATATCCAAAAAGGATTTTCTTTTCAATTGTGAGAATTCGACCGTGGCGGATTCCCTTCACCGGTCACAATTGAAAAGAAAATTGAGCGAAAAATTTCGTTCCGTCGAAAAATTCCGCCTAGTGGAAAACCGGCTTTAAGCCGGCTTTAAGCCGGTTTTCCACTAGCGATATTTTTCGCGCGAAGCGACTTTATTCTTTTGTATTTGAGCAATTTGTTCCAGATGGTTGCAGTTGAGAGCTCTGAAACAAAAGTAAAATGCCGCTTCGCGCGAAAATAACCCCTAGTGGAAAACCGTCTTTAGACAGTTTACCTGCCATCGTGCAGGAGAAATTAACGTTGTCTCATCCGTTTCTCTTCTATTTTTTGCTCTTAGGAAAGCGAAGAAATTCTGGGATGTCAAAATTATTAATGCTTAATTGTAGTGAGTAGATCCAGATTTATTTCTGAACTTTATGTTGTGTCATGATCGTTGAATGAAACATTTGTTATCAGGTTTAGTTGCTTCATCACTAACAAGATATCGAAATAATTATTTCCAAATGTTCACCTGAGTACTATTTTGATGAGGTTATTTGTCCTAAAACCCTTTTTCCCTAAAGCAATTGTTCCTGCAAACTAAAAATTTCAACACGCCATTAGCTTGTGGAAATGCCTTTTGGAACGTTACTAGTTTTCAAGGACCAATTTGAAAACCTGCATGATTTGAAAAAATAGGTTTCCATGATTTTACCGGCCTTTGATCATTTCTGCGTTTTTGATGCTCATTACCAACCACAGCTGTAACAATTACACCAACAGTGGCGTAGCCAGCCTCACGATTTTGTCCCGCTATGTAAATTTCGAGTTATTATCATGATTCATTTCTTAAGAAATTCATTGTTTTCACAGCCAATGAACACCAAAATATTAGCATAGCGGGACAAATCGACAGGCTGGCTACGCTACCGTACACCAAGTGTAACAATTTCATTTAACTGGTGCACTGACAGCCATACCATCTGCACAATTTGCTCAATAGCTGTTTTTCGACAACCAATCAGAGATACGTTTGCTAAAAACTGGTGTTACTTTTTCATCACGTACTTCACGTACTGCTAATGCTAGAATGAACTACACTGTATCTAAGGGGCTGTTTACATGAGCCCGGTTACCCGAGATTCAACGAAGCGTAAGATGATTTTGAGGTATTGAAATGAGCAGATAACATGATCCTGGCAGTCGTATAATCACCACAACAATAGCGTGTGCTTGTTTGGTGTCATAAAGACTTATTTCAATACCTCAAAGTCCTCTCACGCTTCGTTGAATCTCGGGTAACCGGGCTCATGTAAACAGCCCCTAATAGGCCAATCAGAGTCAAGATACAATTCATTCTATATTAACATACATCTCCTATCTTGCTCTCCAAACAATATTCTGGAAACATTTATTTTGTGGCTGAGATTTTTCTTCAGTTGGCCCCAGTGAACTCTAATAAGACTGGAACGATAACTGAACAATAAAGACTAGTCATTGGATAAAGCCGATTTGAATATAATTTGCTGATTAAGGCGGCAGCCGCGCGAGCAAATCAAGCCTTCAAAAGAACTGGGGAGAGTGAGAATTCCGTAAAAATCGTATTTTTTGGCAAAAAATTGCCAGAAAAGTGCAATTTTTATTTGACCACTTCAACTTTAAACAACGAATTTACCCTTTTTGGATAGACCTAAGTAATCCGCATCATCTTAGTGTAAAAATCGGCGAGGTACCAGCTTTGTACTTGAAATATTTAAAGAATTTGAGCGGGCCGAAAAAAAACTTCGCCTTCAACTCGCAAAAAAATAGGTTTGCACCTTTTCACGTTCATAAAACTTGTTTTTTAGTAAAATCTAAGTGTCAATGCTTGTTTTAAGCTTTTATTCATGATCAAATGAGATGGATTTGTGTGTAAAAACCAGCGTTGTTTTGGTGGTGTAATTTCAACTTTTGGCCTTCATGGCGGCCATCAGTGCTGGCTTCAAAGATGGCGGCCAAGTTATCGTTCCAGTCTTTTTAGAGTTCACTGGTTGGCACAAATTGCAGAATTTGTGTAAACGGGTTTTCTCCACCATTGTAACTGCAAGAAAATTCCTGCCACAAGTAAATCTGACAAACTAATCTAATGATCAAAATCATGATATTACTCCGGCGTCAGCGACGGAGTCGCCTTGGTTTGGTTTTGTTTTTATTTTTTTTCCTCGTCGCAGGTGTGTTTTGGCGCGAAATATACTAGTATTTGAAATGTGTATGTGACCGTATTTATCTACGTCACAGTTTTGTCTCCCAAGAGTTGTGGTGCACAGCTTTGGCTAATTTTCCGATGCGTGATTCGATTTCGCTCGCATGATACGGCAATTCCTCCAAGAGGAACAAATAAACCGCGCTTTTGATGCTGTTCGATTAAGTTTAGATTGAATTGGGGTAAGAATATATTTAATACATGTAGATTATTATCTTATTTTAATAATATCGCTGCTATTTCACCGTTTAACAAGATGTGGTCGTGTATGGGCGCGTTGACACATCAAAGTTTGCACAGGATTCAAAATTTAATATAACTATATAAGCGCGAATTCCAAAGGCAAAGTGTAAGGCAAAGTGAACGTATCATGCGGTTTATTTACATTTTTGAACATTCAATTGAACTTCTATACTTTTTAAAGTACGATGTGCTTCTGAATTTCGCGATCGAACAACATTTAGGTTCGCATACTCATTTAGTATGGCCGGACTGTATGTTGTCGTTGAGAAGCTTTATATTGAAGACTGGCACGTGCGCGGCTCGCCGGAGTTAACGCCAGAACAGGCGTCTTGTTTTTTTATAAATCAACAGCGGGCGGAATTCTAGCCTTTCCTGCAATCTGATTGGCTGCAGCAGCGGGCGAAATTTCACGGTATCTGACCACGGTCCGGAATCCTGTGTTTTATGCTCGAGCGAAAGCGTACTTGTTTTGCTTTTCAAAAGATTTATTCGCAAACTTGAAATATTTGCACCAAATGATTATAACGATAAATTGAAGTGAATTTTACTAAATTAAACGAACGAGGTTTTGATTATTTATTATGTTTTTGTCGCCATTGCTGAGTTTGACTACACAATTATATATGATATGACCGAACGCCGCTTTTTGTAAAAGAAATAAATACGTTATTTACCGTTTTGGTCGGTCAGGACAGAAAAATATTTCCCTTCGGTCTCAAAAACATTCCTCGCCCTGCGGCTTTGGGTCATTTTTGATACGTCGGGAAAATGTTTTTCTATCCGGACATCACAGCCGGTAAATAACATATATTGGATTTTGGAAGAAAAGGATTGTACTCGCGGTCTATTCATTCTGGATTCTATAAATGGTTTAGCAGTTTATAGTACAATGTTTTTGATGTTAAAAATCGTTAAAAATAATGTCTGTTGCTTATAATTTTTACAAAAAGAATGAAGTTCCTATATCCTAAATCAAAAAGTCGGGAAGCTAGACCACAGGTATTTAGTTCCTACTTAGTTATTTATGAAAATAAAACAGCAAAAATGATATGTTTGTGTCATAAAGCCTCTCGACGAAACTGAGTTATCATGTGCCTGGTGTTATTTGTCCCTATTCTTCTAACTAATAGTATAAAGGGTGAAAAATTTAAATTCTAATTTGCAGTTGAGAAGAAATAAACGTATTTTCACATAAATATGATAAAATTACTTGATATTTTCGAATGTCGAAGTCATATGCAATGAAAGAAATGATAATTCAGGTTTGTCGAAGATCTGGCTTCTGATTGGTTGATTTTTATACCCAGATCAGCTGGATAACAACATGCATATTTTTCTAAATGTGACAGTTGAGCTTAGCAACGACTTATGACTAGGTATTTAGTTCTGCCAGGGTGATAAATGTTTTCACCTAATTACATATTTTATCCCACAATATGTCATACATGAAAGTGAAAAACGATTAATGATTGCGAATGGCCGAAAATTAATATCTGAAATAATATTCTTAACATAAAAATTAAAATAAGATCTAATTTCAATATCGCTTCCAACAAAGTGATGATTTAAACCATTTCTGGTTGACTTAATTATTTTAACAAATTACTTTCGTTGGCAGGCTTCATGCAGGTATTGACGGGTCTTGACGGGTCTTGACGGGTATGTCTAAACAATTGTCCCGAAATTTATTCAAGCATAGAACGAAGAGAAATATACTTCAGAACTTTTCGTTGTTTTCGCGGAAAACCAAGACATGTATTTCTCCACTGATATCGCCATCTCATTTGAAGTCAGTCACATTATATCTGTACTATTTGAAAGTGTATTCGGTGGGATAGCTGAATCCCTCGATAATTCTGGAGCCCATATTCACACACTCATGTTAACAATTAAGCTGTTAAAGATAATCAATTTCAAAAGAAATTGATAATTCAGAACATCACTACCATATTTTTGTGTGAATAACGATGCTCAGTTTATATTTGTTCGGGGTAATTAAACTACGTTGAATGAACTCTTCATCTGGCCTGTGAACTGGTTCTGTTTATAACGATGCAGGGAACGCTATAGTTAAAAAAGTTCTTAAATATCCGACGTTTTCGATCATTCTTGACACAAATATGGCGAGGATATGACACAAATATGGCGAGGATATGAAATTTTCTATACCTAGTAACTAATTGTCTATAGTAAAGGTCGGAAACAGCTCAACAGTAATAAGTATATTATTCCGTATAGTACTAGTATTGTAGCTTTAATTGGATGTAATTATAGCTTCAACTGAAAAACCTCTTTGAGGAGAGTTCAATATTTTTTTTAAATGGCGACTGCCTGGTGATTTTGTTTTACAATTTGAAAATTGTGAGCTCTGTGCCTTTTTGTAATTTTAAAACATTTGTTTGAAAATCCTTAAACGAGATTGCAAATGTCTTCATAGCTTGAAAACCAGCATGGCCTTGACTTCAATTATTAATAACAGATGTGTAATCTTGTGTTAGTTTCCATCAGCGATAGAAGATTACAAGCACCTGTAAAAACTTTAGTGTGGCCAGCAAACAATAATAAATTATCATTTTCACAAGAAAGCAAATTTCTGGCATCCTTATCATGTAGGGAAGACTGCCAAGTAATTTCGGACATAGTGCTATTTCATATTTTCCAAAAAATAATTTTAACAATTCTAATTCTCAATTACATAATTTAATTTAGTTTCAAACGGGATTCCACAAGAGGTTTTTACTTTTATTTTAGCAGCTTTTCGAACAATTTAACTGTCCGACTTCAGGCTACAACTTGTTAAATGTTCTAAATTAAATTATTAATTTAACAATGAACAGAGGTGAAAGTTTGAGGTGAAATTTCAACCTCGAAAATTTAACACTTAATCGTTGTAATCCAGGATGAAGTTTTTCAACAATATTTACTACTTGTTTACTTATTTTTCTTATGGTACTTGATATTCATCGACATTAACGTCGGAGGTTTAAATAGTTTTCGTAAAAGCTCAACGTAATTAGCCCCAAACTTTGTGGTGAACGAACTGATTATTTCTCAATTCTCAGAACGCAACGACACGAACAAGCTGAAAATATCGTCAAGTAAGGTGTTGAAATTTTAACCCTTCACTAACTAGCCTAAGTAACCAGCTTAAAGTATATCTCGAGAGCTAACAGTAATGTTTTGTTCGTATGTTAACATAATCATGCAATAAGGTGGATTTACATGCGTGTAATTTGATTTACCTATTCGAAACTCACAATTTCTCAATCCAAACCAGAAAAACTGGTGAATCTCGTGATTTCTCGGAGAAGACAACGAAAGTTTGTACAGTGGAATTTGAACGCTTTGCTTGTAATTATGTTGACACCTGTCAGTACTTACATGTGGAACGCAAACAGAAATATGTCATCCTAAAAGGATTTCTAGACGCTCTTGTCAACTGGGTGTAAGACTCTAACTTCAATACTAGCGATTTAAGATATTGTACCATTTGTCTTCCCATGCCTGATCTAATATTTACGAATATTGGTTCCGATTTCTTATCCCAGTTAAGTCCAATTAAGAAGGAATGAATTTTTTCTACATTGTGTTCATTTTTCATTACAGTTTTTGCTTTTTGGTCACAAGTAAAATTACAGGTAGCTACGTATAAAGCGAAGTACAACGTCTTTAGGTCTTCAGTTCATCAAGTAACCTTGAGGAAACAAATCGCTTCTACAAAATGTCGAAGCGAGCGATGACCCTCGCGGTCATCTTCGCCGTTTTGGCACTGGGAATTAAATGGTAAGAACTAAATTCATTTGTTTTGGTACGAATACGTTTATTGATTTAGCCATTCTTCATTTTTCAAGGATGGAAGCGAAAGAACAGCGAAGAAATCACCTAAAAAAGATGACTTCGTCAACCCTGAACAAACCTACGGGTAAGTCCCGGTTATTTCAGCTTAAACTACCTATTTTTACTTGACTTTTAATCTCTGAAAATCTCTAAGAAAAATGCTCTAGGAAAATTGCCAAATTTTTCAAGCTCTATGGAATAAAACGAATCACCATGAAAGTGGACTGGCAGCCTATTCAACCTAACTTATCTAACTTATCTTAAATTTTTTCAGTGGATTTCAAAAAGGATTTTAAACGTTCGTTAGACTCAGATGCCGAGGAAAACGAAAATAAAGGTATCAACATAAAATATTGCGAATCTGTCTTTTTTACATAGTAAATTAACACAAGTTCTGTCATTTTAAATCAGAGGATGTTTCGAAAGAGGATACTTCAGACGAGGAAAGCGAACATAAAGAGAACGATTCTACTGGTAGGTGGACGGTCATGTTTAAGGTAGCTATTTCTCCTTAATGTAAAACATACCCGGAAATTGGAGTCCAACGAACTTGTGTTGCTTTAAATATTAGAAAACGATTCAAAGAAAGACGATTCCTCGAACTCAGTGGCACAGGATGATAAAGACCCTGGTAAGTGTCCGGCTAGGTTAAACTAACTTGAACACCTACCGAAATCTAAAGAATAGATAGTGTAGATTATGTCCACTTTATACATTAGAAAGCGACTCGAAAAGTGAATCTGAAATGGAAGAGGACGAACCTACTGGTAAGCGGCCAGCCTGTTTAATCGACTTGAACTTGAACTCACACTTAAGTCTCTATGCAACTGTAATTAAAACGAAGGTCAAAGATTGCTAGGCGAACGCAAGTCGTATGACTAAGATTCTCCGAGCTCAGAAACTGAAGAAGACGAAGAGCCTACTGACATGTGACCACCCTGGTTTAATTAACTTGAACAAATTCTAAATGTTACAAAGTAACTATAAATATATCTAAGAATGTTAGACAAGCGGTATAAATTTAAATTATAGAAGACGACTCAGAAGAGGATTCGGAAGATTCTCCGAGCTCAGAAACCGAAGAAGACGAAGAACCTACTGGTAAGCAACCACCCTGGTTGAATTAACTTGAATTCAAACTTAAAATATATCTAAGAATGTTGGGGTAATGCAAGTCGTATGACTTCAAATTATAGAAGACGACTCAGAAGAGGATTCAGAAGATTCTCCGAGCTCAGAAACCGAAGAAAACGAAGAACCTACTGGTAAGTGATCAGTCTGGTTGAATTAACTTGAACTCAAACTTAAGTTACAAAGTAACTATAAATATATCTAAGAATGTTGGGCTAATGCAAGTGGTGCAAATTCAAATTTTAGAAGACGATTCAGAAGAGGAATCAGAAGATTCTCCGAACTCAGAAACCGACGAAGACGAAGAACCTACTGGTAAGTGACCAGCCTGGTTGAATTAACTTGAACTCAAACTTAAGTTACAAAGTAACTATAAATACATCTAAGAATATTAGGCTAACACAAGCGGTATAACTTTAAATTATAGAAGACGACTCAGAAGAGGAATCAGAAGATTCTCCGGGCTCAGAAACCGAAGAAGACGAAGAACCTACTGGTAAGTGACCAGCCTGGTTAGATTAACATGCACTCAAACTTAAGTTACAAAGTAACTATAAATATATCTAAGAATGTTAGGCTAACGCAAGTGGTATAACTTCAAATTATACAAGACGATTTAAATATACCGAGAAATGTGAGGATAACGTAAGTTGTATCACTTTAAATGTTAGACGAAGATTCTCAAGAAGATTCAGACCATTCTCGTAGCTCAGTAACAGACGAAGACAACAATAACGGTATGTGGCTGGACAGGTTAAATAAACTTGTACTCAAACTTGGCTCTCTTTATAACAATAAATTTACTTAGAAATGTTAAAACTAACGCATATAATATCCCATTAAATCATGGAAGAAGATAGCCCCTCAGATTTTGGTAAATCATAAGCCTTACATTAATTTCAATTCTCCCATGATTTTCCCTTTAGTTTTAAACTTGGGTGTAATGTTTGGTCAAATAAGTCATGACACAAGTTACTCTATTTTAGGTGGGGAATTTGACGAAGAAAGCAAACCCGTTGGTAAGTTGTGGGATATCTTTCTGGCGTGAACTCATATCTGAGTCTTATTTAAGGGTTAGAGACTGTCGTGAGTATTTTGTCCACAAATAAACGCATGCGCTGACCATGCAATGAACGAGAAATTTCAATATTGACATTCCGAGTTCATTGTATGGTCAGCAAGTCCGTTTATTTGTGAACAAAACACGAACATAAAGTCTCTAACACTCTTAATATACAATATGAGTTTATTGATTGCTGCATGGAAGATCTAAGCTTCGCTGCAGACTGTCATTTTTGAATAAAACAAGATTTTCATCGGTTATTGCGAATAAACCACGATTTTCTATGGGTTATTGCGAATAAATGATGATTCCCATGAACTGTCGCCAGGCAACAAGAAACTACGTGATTGATTTTGACCAATCGCCTGGGTAGATTTAGGCCATTGCACGAAGATTGTATATTAAGTAACTATAAATATACAGTCCGGAATGTGACACTAATTTATGTTGTATCACTTTTAATTTTAGATGGGAATTCTAAAGAGGAATCAGAAGATTCTCCGAGCTCAGAAAGCGATAAAGACGAACCTACAGGTAAGTGTCCTAGCTTATTAAATCAATTTCCATCCGAGGTAATCCAAAAAAGATATCAATGTGACTGGAAAGCATTTTTTCATTTCCAACCTCCCATAGGGAAGACCTTGTAGATTAATAATTATTCACTTTATGTAACTCATGTAACGCAATTAATCTCCAATTTTCAGGGATTGTTTATCATCAATGAAGTAGATAATTTCTCTCGATAGACTAGCGATGATCACCGTCAATAGCTTTCGCCGATATCGCCTTCTTGAAAATCAGGAATACTTAGACATGAATGACTACAGTTCCTAATACGCTCTTTGCATCAATCAAGTTTATATTCATGCCCTCTCTCTTTCTCTCTTTCTCTCTCGCTTTACAGTGAAACCCGAGAAGGTCCGGACAAAAAAGCTGTTTGGCTTGGTAAGAAAAGTGTTACACCATTTTAAGAGAAAGTTGTTTCGGCGCCGAAGAAAAAGACATCATCGCCGAAGAAGAAGGCATCATCACCGAAGAAAGCATCTCCACAGACTCAGGAAACTCCGAAGACTCAGGAAACTCCGAAGACTCAGGCGGCTCAGGAAACTCCGAAGACTCAGGCGGCTCAGGAAACTCTGAAGACTCAGGCGGCTCAGGAAACTCCGAAGACTCAGGCGGCTCAGGAAACTCCGAAGACTCAGGCGCCTCAGGAAACTCCGAAGACTCAGGCGCCTCAGGAAACTCCAAAGACTCAGGCGGCTCAGGAAACTCCTAAGATTGAGGCGGTTCAGGAAACTCATAGCAATCAGGCGGCTCAGGAAACTCCATAGACGCAGGCGGTTCAGGAAACTGATAAGGATCAGGCGGCTAAGGAGGCGCAAGTTTCTCAGGCAGTTGTGGAGACTCAGACGACTCAGAGGGCGCAGACGGCACAGGGGGTTCAGGAGGCTTTGGATCACGTTACACCGGCGGCTTAAGAAATCCAGGCGGATCTTGAGACACAGGTTGAAACAGCGACACAGGCTGCGTGGGATATTCAGGCGGCTCAAGGCAGGCAGACGCAGACGGATCAAGATACACAGACGGCTCAGGAAACTCTTCCGGCTCGTGAGACGCATGCGCCACCATATACGCACGCTGCTATGGAGACTCAGGTTGGTCAAGAGATTCAAGAATGGCAAGAAAGTCAACATCAAGAGACTCAGGCCCCTTAGGAGACTCCGGCGACTCAGGCGACTCAGACGACTCCGGCAACTCAGGCGACTCAGGCGGCTCAGGCGACTCAGGCGACTCAGGAGACTCGGACCCCTTAGGAGACTCCGAAGACTCAGGCGGCTCCGGCTTCTCCGGCGGCTTAGAATAAGCAGCCGGCTCAGACGACTCAGGCGGCTCAGGACACTCAGATTGATAAATAGAGGACTCTGGCAAAAAAGACGATTCCGCCGAGGATTCCACACAATTATTCTCACAGAGAACGTTAGACCTCGACGGATTATTGGACGGATACGAGTTCATCGACGGTGTCGTACCACGTTCCATGTGGCAAGATGTGGTCAGTGTGTCAGAATTGGTCATCGTAGCGGTGCATTGTGGTTTAGAGGATCACTTCGAAACATACCAAAGAGCAAGAATGGAATCAGAAAACTGTTCTTCCGTGTGTTTATCAACCGAAAATGCGTGTTTCGCCGAAGACATCATCTTGGAACCAGAGTTATAAAACTGATTATTCTTCCCAGGGGCTTTGGTGATTCGGATTTGTCGAAGTGTAAATCTTCAAACGTTCGTCCAAGTAAACTGTCCAAAACTCTCAACCCTAGTCCGTCAACTTTGCACAGAGCGTTTAGACACGCGTCCCGAAAAATGGAACCTAAGATGTTCAAAGAAATGATGGCAGCCATACGGGTTGACAGAGTAATAGAGTGCGGAATAGAAAAAGTATTGAACAGGGTCGATGTCGATGGTAAGTTTATTTTTAACACAATACGTTTTATAGTTCAAGCCCTTCTTCGCGCGGTCTTAGTATATACGTTGGCTGAAATGGATTGAAATAATCATTTCTATTTTTCTAAATTCGGAATTTGCTATGTTTTCACTTCGAAGTCGTTGAAAATATCACGGTAGAACAGAACTACTAAGCCTGGCATAGAGGAGGGAGACCATTGTGTTTTGGGGGTAACCCCCCCCCTCCTAGAAACTTAACTCGAGGCAGGGCAGTATATTCATTTATATTCCTCTAATCTACATTGATTTCTTTCGATAGCGATTTTTGCTTCCAGCGACCGCCGTGTAAGTTAGGAAAGAGAGAACTCGCAAAAACTAAAAAACTCGGCAAAGCTTGCCAATGGCAAAAAACAGCGTATAACCTAATTTAAGTAAATTGTCATCTTCTTGCAGATATAAAAGGTGTTGCTCTCCGCTGGTCTCTAAATACCTTGTTTTCAAGCAAAGCGTTACAGCACTTGGCAAGAAAATGTAAATGCAAACCGCCCAGAGATGTAACGTGCTCAACGAATCCGGATTATCGGACAATTGATGGCACCTGTAACAACATTATAAATCCTCTCTTTGGTTCCGCCCCCCGTGCTCTAAACCGTTTGGTTCCTGCAAGATATTTTGACTTTGACAATCTCAACGATCCCATCGGATTCCCTGGTCAAATCTTCGTCCCAAATATCCCTGCAACGCTTAGGGTATCTAAAAGATTTATCATTTCACAACCTCGGCCTTCGAGAAGAAGATTAACTAATTCCCACTTACTTATGCAATTTGGACAATTCCTGGATCATGACGTCGGCATTTCACTGGAGAGCGAGGCTGGAGACAGATGTGAGCTCAAAAACAGGTACGTTGGTCCCCGAACGTTATCTGTAAAGTCGTTTTGTGATGTGTCCCACAACAAGGTCTATAAAATAGAACCGAAAACAAGGATATTGGTTTGATATTCTTGTTCTTCTTGGCTTTCTATTGTTGTCACGCACACTTTTGTTGCGGTAGTTTTTGTTTCAGTTGCCGTTCTTTCTTGAACAAATCTCACCGGCATTTGTTGCTATAATTGTTGTTTTCATTGCGTTTCTTTTGTAACAAATGTCAGAGTAACAGTTCGTTATTGTTTCTGCTTTCTACGTTTTGTTGCGGTTCAATTGCTTTTGGTATTCTTCTTTTTTCATTTTAATTAAATTGTCGTCGTTCTTTATTGTTGCCATTTTTTGCACCTCTTGTTGATTCGATTTGTTTGCATTGTTCTATTTTATTTTGTTTTCAATGTTATTGCTGTTTTTATATATTGTTGTTGCAGTTATAACTCCTTTTGGGTTTTTTATCACTTTTGTTGCTTGTTGTTCTTGTTGCCGTTCCTGGCTATAGCTGGCTATAGTTCAGGGGCTGGTCGTATGAAGCCCGTTTATCTTTGACGGTGGAAAAGTTCAATATAGAAAGCAATTCCGTCGTTTCATTCCACAAGCAAACTAAATGTTTTTTACCTTAATACAAAACTACTGCTTCAGTGCATAATATTCAAGTTGACTCATTCAAGAGAGATGTAAGGGTTTAAACTAAGCGGGCTTGATAAAACCGGCCCCAGTATTGCTATCATACAATTTTGTTTATTGGAGACTCTACACAACAATTTCTCCGTGGACAGTTATTGGGATAGATAAAAATAAAGCTAACAATGAAACAAAATCTGAATCCAAGACTTTACCTAAAATTTTACAGAAACAAAAGAAAAGGCGCTGACTTTGCAGTGCCATGTTACACTATCCAAAGATTCGGTCGATTGAGAGCGCTTCCTTTCAGAAGATCAGCAAGTGAATGTCAGATACGAAATGGTCGTTATACCAGAAGAGAACAGCTGAATAGTATTACGTCATTTGTGGACGCCTCGCAAGTCTACGGTTCTACAGAGGAACTCGCAGAACGATTAAGGGATAAAAACAGTTAGTACTATCTTCTAATACTCTGGCGAGGCAGAACTTTTCGGCGAACAGCAGCCAGCTGTGACATTGCTTTATAAATTCGACTGAACAAATATGGATTTTTCACATTTATATTATCAAAGTCACAAATATTTCATTTTTCACTTTTAATATTTTAATTGCCAGATATTTCACTTTTGAAAGTGTATGTGTGCATGAATGGTGCTCGCAGTTTAAGAAATTTTAAAATCACAGGAAATGAAAATTTTTTTCTTCAGGTGGCAAAGGATTGTTGGCTACATCGAATGTAAAAAATGGCCCTTTATTACCAATTGATAATTCTGGAGAACTGGAATTTCCTGTCGAATTATGTAGAGAAAGCGAATTAGGAAGTAAATGTTTCCTATCTGGTGATGTTCGAACAAATGAACAGCCCGGACTGGCCTCCATGCACACTTTGTTCGTTCGTGAACATAACAGAATTGCCCGAGAGTTAAGCAAAATCAATCCCAGCTGGAAAGAGAATGATCTTTACCAAGAGGCGAGAAAAATCGTTGGCGCTGTGTGGCAAAAAATCGCATACGTGGACTTCCTCCCAATAATCATTGGAAACACGCTTCCAGTTTACCCAGGCTATGATCCGAACGTCAATCCTGACCTTACAAACGCATTTTCCACAGCGGCATTTAGATTTGGACACACTTTAATCAGGCCAACATTTGATGTCCTCGATGCAAATTTCAACCCCATAAGGAGCCCTTTGCCATTACGTGAAATGTTCTTCAACACCACTTTCATAAAAGAACGAGGTATAGAACCAATACTTCTTGGTTTACTGGGTAATTCATCGGAAAGATTTGATCGAAAACTCGCTGATGATCTGCTGGAACACCTGTTCCAAAGGCCAGGTAACTCTGAAGGCGGTCTAAATCTTGCTGCATTGAACGTTCAGCGCGGCAGAGATCATGGCTTACCTGGGTACAACGCATATCGACGTTTTTGCGGATTGCGAAATGCGAGAAGTTTCTTCGCTACAAGAAGAGAAATCAGAAATGGTTGGAACAGAATTCTCTTGCGAAGGTTGTACAAAAGGCCTTCAAACGCAGATTTGTGGATTGCTGGATTAGCGGAAGCCCCGGCTAACGGTGGAATCGTTGGAGCGACCTTTGGCTGTATCATCCGAGAGCAGTTCAGACGATTAAGAGATGGAGACAGTTTCTTCTACAGAAGACCCGGTGTGTTCACTGCCAAGCAGTTGTTCGAGATTGAAAAGGCAACGATGTCGAGAATCTTTTGCGATAATTTGAATAAAATCGTTTCTATTCAAAGAAATGCATTCTTAGCTGGTGGAGGAAACGTTCGTCGTGTTGAATGTAGCAACATTCCCGGAATTAATTTCGAAGCTTGGAAAGGTATGCAAGCATTATTATGAAGCCGGGTTTCCATAGACGCCTTTCCCCCGCATGCGAAATTGGCATTGAGTCATTTGAGTGATACTGATGTGTTTATTAGTTTTGCTGTACACACTACGTAAAGATCTCTTTCACATCTGGTAGCGAGTCCGAAAACAAGTTTAGGACAATTTGTAACAGGCTTTTTTACATGGCTCTTTCGATGTTTCTAGCTCATAAATGTAACAATGCTACAACAATCTTGTCTTGTGAAGATTGTAGCAAAATTAATATGCCTTAGCTGTATTGTATGTGTCGGAACAATATTGTAACTTGTAACAAGTCTGAAGATCGATGTCATCCAGCTTACCTGTCATCAAAGTATTGTTCCTCGAAGTACAGTAGCTTATGGTATATTAAAACCTGGCTTAGAAATGATATTTCTATTTACATTTTTTATATTTTGGCATTATTGCAGCAAACACCACTCCTAAACCCCCCTCTGGCATTGGTAATCGTCTTGGCATTTACATCAGAAGTGAAGGTGCCAGAGACCAGGGAAGACACGGGCATGGTCGTGCAATTATATCTGTTAACAACAAAGATCATTC